ACCTTTGACAAAATTCAACAGTCCTTCCTGCTAAAAACTCTCAATAAACTAGCTCCTGATGGAACATTTCTCAAAATAAGAGCTATTTATGACAAACCCACAGCCAATATACTGAATGGGCAAAAACTGGAAGCATTTCAGGCCAGGGCCATCAGGCAAGAGAAAGACATAAAGGGTATTCAATTAGGAAAAGAGGAAGTCAAATTGTCCCTGTTTACAGATGACATGATTGTATATTTAGAAAACCCCATCGTCTCAGCCCAGAATCTCCTTAAGCTGATAAGCAACTTCAGCAAAGTCTCAGAATACAAAATCAGTGTGCAGAAATCACAAGCATTCCTATACACCAGTAACAGACAAACAGCCAAATCATGAGTGAACTCCCATTCACAACTGCTACGAAGAGAATAAAATACCTAGGAATCCAACTTACAAGGCATTGCCAAGACAATCCTAAGCAAAAAGAACAAAGCTGGAGGCACCACACTACCTGACTTCAAACTATACCACAAGGCTACAGTAACCAAAACAGCATGGTACTGGTACCAAAACAGAGATATACACCAATGGAACAGAACAGAGCCCTCAGAAATAATACCACACATTTACAACCATCTGATCTTTGACAAACCTGACAAAAATAAGAAATGGGGAAAGGATTCCCTATTTAATAAATGGTGCTGGGAAAACTGGCTAGCCATATGTAGAAAGCTGAAACCAGATCCCTTCCTCACACCTTGTACAAAAATTAATTCAAGATGGATTAAAGACTTAAATGTTAGACCTAAAACCATAAAAATCCTAGAAGAAAACCTAGGCAATACTGTTCAGGACATAGGCATGGACAAGGACTTCATGACTAAAACACCAAAAGCAATGGCAACAAAAGCCAAAATTGACAAATGGGATCTAATTAAAGAGCTTCTGCACAGCAAAAGAAACTGCCATCAGAGTGAACAGGCAACCTACAGAATTGGAGAAGATTTTTGCAATCTGCCATCTGACAAAGGGCTAATATCCAGAATCTACAAAGAACTTAAATTTACAAGAAAAAAATCAACCCCATCAAAAAGTAGGCAAAGGATATGAACGGACACTTTTCAAAAGAAGACATTTATGCAGCCAACAGACACATGAAAAAATGCTCATCATCACTGGTCATCAGAGAAATTCAAATCAAAACCACAATGAGATACCATCTCACACCAGTTAGAATGGCAATCATTAAAAAGTCAGGAAACAATAGGTGCTGGAGAGGATGTGGAGAAACAGGAAAGCTTTTACACTGTTGGTAGGAGTGTTAACTAGTTCAATCATTGTGGAAGACAGTGTGGCGATTCCTCAGGGATCTAGAACAACAAATACCATTTGACCCAGCAATCCCATTACTGGGTATATACCCAAAGGATTATAAATCATGCTGCTATAAAGACACATGCACACGTATGTTTATTGTGGCAGTATTCACAATAGCAAAGACTTGGAACCAACCCAGATGTCCATCAGTGATAGACTGGATTAAGAAAATGTGGCACATATACACCATGGAATATTATGCAGCCATAAAAAAGGATGAGTTCATGTCCTTTGTAGGGACATGGATGAAGCTGGAAACCATCATTCTGAGCAAACTGTCACAAGGACAGAAAACCAAACACCGCATGTTCTCATAAGAGGGAATTGAACAATGAGAACAGTTGGACACAGGAAGAGGAACATCACACACCAGGGCCTGTCATGGGGTGGGGGGATGGGGGAGGGATAGCATCAGGAGAAATACCTAATGTAAATGACGAGTTAATGGGTGCAGCAAACCAACATGGCACATGTATACATATGTAACAAAACTGCACATTGTGCACATGTACCCTAGAACTTAAAGTATAATATAATAAAGAGCAGTAGCTATCCTATGATAACCCCAAAGATTCACAGCCTTTGTAAGGTATATATCCCTTAGATCAGAAAAATATATCAGAAAAAATAGACTTTAATCAAAAAAGCCTTCACAAGGGAAGGCATATGATTGATCACTGAAAACTACAAAACTTCAGTGAGAGAAAGAATACCCAAATAAATGGAGCAATCATGTTCATGAATTAGAAAATTTAGTATTATAAACATGTCACGGAATTGATCTAAAAATTCCCTTTCTCCTATAAAGCTAACAAAAAAAGGAAGCTCGTGAAGCTCCTGTTTGTAGCTGTTTCTTCCAGATTGAATTACACTCAAGTTAAAAAAAAAAAAACAACTTTGAATATTTATAACTAAAAGTTTTAAAAATGAAAGTAATAAAAATGTAAATCTAAGCAGAAAACAAAACCAAACCTGAGTTCTGGGTTTCTTTGGATTCTCACACTCTTCTAGATTTTGGCCACGCAGTTTTTCTGTATATTGTGAACGCCTAGATAATTTTAAGATATTTTCTTGTTTTTGTATATCATCCAGTTTTTAATTTGTCTTTGGTAGAAGGATTGGTCTTGATCTCCTAGCTCCATTATTAGAAGTATCTACCATCTATTTTTTTTTTCTGTAGGACAAAGTATTTATTGAGCATTTACTGTGTGACAAACACTTCTGAGCACTGTATATGTAGTGGCAAGCAAGACAAAGTCTCTGCCCTTTAAAAAGCCCTAATTTTAATTGAGGGAAGCCCTCATTTTTCTAAACTAATGGCTATGGAATACTTGAACTTTAAGCAAATGTCAATCTCTGCTTTCTGAGAATTTCCATGGTGAGCTAGAGCCTCATGCAGTAGATTCTTAAGCCCCAGCCCCAGGCTCAATTGGAGGGCCATAATAAAGTTTGCACAAAGCCTGAAGTAGGGGGGAGAGCTTGGAGGAAAGAACCTGAATGGGTAAGGGAGGGGCTAACATTTAAGAGAGAACTTGAATTTCACACATGACTGGCAGAGAGTGGAGAAGTGACATTTGAGGAATCTGTGTTTGTGTCTTTTCTATCCCACAGATACTCAGAGTAGAAGTGAGAATGAGGAAGATTTGCACATAGCCATGAAACCTGCCCGAGTTGTGGAAAGTCCTTGGACTCTAGCAGCCCTCTACCCAGCTTTATCCAAGAGTGGAAAGGAACACCAAGGCCGTTTCAATTTTGCAGCACCATCCAAGAAACTAGTACCTATCAAGAATGCTGTCACACCTTTGAAACCTGGCAAGCATGACATTCAACCACCGATGCCCACCACAGTCTTTGAAGTCACCCAAGCACCCTCCAGGCAGGCTAAAAGTAAGGCTACCTTTCAAACTACATTGCCCACCCTGAAGGTGGATAAGCCAACCATGCCCTCCGTAGAGGTCCCCTATCCTTAAATAAGAGACCTCTAAGAGATCCCCATGGCCGAATACTCCAAAGAATCCTATGTCACAATATATTCCACTGCATCTGACATATCCTTCTATGTTTCCAAAGAAGAATTATCCACATCTCCCCTGCTTCTTCCTCTTCCTCTCTCTGCCTAAGGGTGGTGATGGTGGGGAGTGGTTGGTAAAGGCACACAGAAGGGCCATTGAGGCTCTCAGGGGAACCATTCTGATCTAGCTTTCTATCAAGAATGCATCTCAAGGGGCTAGGCAAGGGGAAAACTGTTGTGTGTGGTCTTGGAACTGGTTGCTGTCAAGTTTATCTCATTCTAACACCTCCATAATATTCTCTGCTAAAGAAGTGACTGTGCATATAAGTAAAGGCAACCTCTCAGGAAGCCAGAGGTAGTGGTCTATTCTTTAGACCCCTCGTGATCAACCAGGGTGATGAAGGCTGGGGCGTGGGGGCAATAGTGATGCCATCTGAGTGATCTTATTCTCTGGGCCAGAGAATGAGGGGCATGGGTCAGGGACAAAGATCTCATCCCCACCCCACATTATCTGCCCTATTGTGCAGTGGGCTACTTCCTGATAGCCTGTGGTTTGCTGATTCCCTAATAAGAGGGTGGGTACAATCCATGCATACTCAAGAGCTTTTGGCTTTGAGGGGAAACCAGAGCTTAGAACAAGTATCTGGAGGCCCTTCTATCTGGGAGCCCAAAGTTAGAAGCCGCGAGTTGAGCTCTTCCCACTTACACTTCCTTTCTGGACCTGAGCCTCTTCTTTATGATGGTGATGTAAGGCAGACTACCACAGCATCTTCCTTCGGGCTCAGATCTCTCCTGGGCTACCTGTGGAGCTGTGTCCTCTAACAGCCACATTACTGTCCCAGAAAGCAGGGCTCTCTGGTTTGGGGCCTCCATTTACACACACCAGCCAGTCCTACACTAACAGCTAGGGAAATCAGGAATAGCACTCCCTGGGTAGACAGGCACATAGATGCTGATGACCCAGACACTGGAGTGTATGAAAAGCAGCAGGACCTGGCTCTGCTGAAGTATGTGACCTTGAGGGCAGATCACAAACCCTCCCAGCAAGGGGATTCTCCACTGTCACTTCTCTAGGTGCTCATCCCAGCCATAGCCCAAGGATGCCCCACCCCTTAGTCACACCTTCCCAGTCTGAAGCCCTCACCCACAGACCTACTCCAGTCATGGCCATACCTGGTTGTCCCATGCTGGTCACAAAGTAAAATTTTACTGGCACCCACTGGACATGAAGATTTAACCCAAGGCAGCATTGTTCTTGGGGTTCTTGGATGTGTCTTGATGAGCCAAGATGTTTCTGGCGGGTGCAAGGGCCGCTGTGGCTCCACTGGCCCTAGTTACAGCCCAGAAGCTGATGCCGCCTCTAGACGCCCAGCTCATGCACACTTAGGTCCTCACCTCCCAGCCTGATGTCCAGCACTTCCTCCCAACCCACCCCAATCTCAGTGGGTCCCTTTAAGCCACTTAAAGCACATCTTGAGCTCAAGCTCCCCAAACCCCAGACCCAGACCAGGTTGGCCCCAGCAGGTAAAGACCAAAAAGAAGTCGTTATGTAGGCTGCTCCCCTGCAAGGCCCTGTCCTGACCCCATATGCCCTTCCCTTCCACTTCCCCTCCCTGAGCAAAGACACTGTCAGGCCAGAGGATGAAACATGCTTTATGCCCTGAGGTGATCAGGAGAGACTTGAGCAGGGGCCCAACATTCACACTGCAATATAGAAAAGTGGTCTGTCCCCCTCATCCCACCTGTAGATCCAGTCCCTTCAGTTTCAGAGTATTCAATGCACATTTGGTTTGGTGGTTCCAAGTATAGAGAGCTAGATTGTCCTCTTAATTCCTCTATCCCTGTGGTACACAGAAAGTCAAAGGAAGTTGCATGGTGGGGCTGGTCTGAAACAGGAGACACATCTAAGGATCATAGGCTCTCATAACCAGGAAGGCCACAGCAAGCTCAGACTAGACCAACCCAGGTGCCAGAGGGGTGGATGGAGGGAAGTTCTGCATCCCAGAGAGATGCCTCACTGGAAGAACATCAGAGGCCCAGTCGGTATGGTCCATGGTGGCTGGCCAGCCCAGCCTCACTGCCAGGATGGCAGAAGTCTTCCCCAGCTGCAGGGGTAGCTGATGGGCCTGAGCCCACTGCCTCGAGAGCAGGCTTGGAACCAGCACCTCCCGCTGACTGTTCACTTGCCACTCCTGGAGCCCCGCTGTTTGCTCATGGCTGTGAGCATCTGGCTAATGTAGGAAGTCAGGAGGTCATCCATCTTGTAGCCCTGGAAGCAGGGGTGAGAAGATAAGCAGAGCACATGGTGGGACGGGGCCAGCCACTCGGACCATAGCACAGCTCCCAGGAATCTGCAATGGACAGAACCCAGGACAAAGGCAAATCCCTCCCACTCAGGACTCATCTCCCATCTGCACAGTTGAAGGGTTGAATTCAGCCAGCCAGATGGTTAAGGTTCTACACTGTTAGGACCCCACGTTAGGCCCCTAGCTTGTGGGTCCCTCAAGTCACAGATCCCTCCCTCCAGGAGTGACTCTACTGGCTCTCAGTTGAGCTATGTCTTGGAAGTTTGAGCTTGGTCCAGGAGGTCTCGTTAATGGTTCCACTATTGAACTCGGGGACTAAAGGGCTGTCACTGCGCACTCAATCTCCAGATACTGAAGGCACTCAAACAACAGTTGTTGAATGAGGGGTCTGTTCCTCAGCCCCAGATTAAGTCCCTTCCCCAGACCTAAGCTGAGCCTCAAACTGACCTGACCTTGGCCCCAGCATGACCCTTGCCCATGACCCCAGGCCCAACCGCACACTACTGTTTGTTCCAGGCCCTGGGAGGCTGGCTAAGCTGCAGGCAAGGCAGGGAGCCCACCAGGCCAAGCAGGATGCGCCCTCACCAGTGATGTCTCGCAGAGCAATTTGCTCCCGCGCACCAAGTTTCCAATGGTGATGTGGAAGTAGGTGTTGCCGCTGCTCCAGTTGGAGATCTTGGTGAAGGGGTGAGTGGTGAGGATGTCCTGGGGGAGCAGAAAGGGCATGGAGAGGCACAGCCTGGGCCCTGTGGCCTCACTCACCCACACATGCCCTCACAGAAGGCCTCAGGCCCTCAGAGGAGCCCATGGCCCGAGGGAAAAGCCAGTTCTGCCATCCAGCTGTGGTGGGAAGCAGGTGCCTCCCCCTCCACACCTTGGTTTGGACACCCAGGGAAGTCTAGGAGGCTGTTGGGTAGGGGTAGTTGGGGCCAGAACTGGGAAATTGGGAGGCCTAAGGCAACTGACACTGTGGCCTGAATGAGATGGCCCAGGGAGAGTTTGAGGAGGGAGTCAAGAAGAAGACAGGGCAGAGCCTTGGGGAACACAGCGTACAGGAGCAGGCACAAAAGGGTCCAGGAAGGAATGACCAAAACACAGAGGAGAGCCAGGAATGTGTGACGCATGAAGCCAATGGACAGATGGTGGTCACGAGCCCTCTTCACTACCTGTCCAGTCAGACCCTCTGGGTGTGCAGTCGGGCTGCTCTGGCCCAGAAACACAGATGCACAGTCACCCCTGCACAGCCGGCCCCACAATCCACATGGGCAGAGCATCCAGTGATACTGAAAGGCCAAGTACTAAAAGGAGCTCAGATTCCATAGGAAGGAGTTTGTTAGTAACTTCAGGAGAGCAATTTTTGTGGAGCAAATGTTGGGTAAAGTCCCAGCAAACGCTGACAGCTTTTGAAGTCGCATGATGGGTGGATGAGTCTGGAGATAGATGATGGCTAGGAGGGCTTGCGGGGTTTGTTCCGGGACTGTGTCTGAGGTTCAGGCAGAGAAGGCCACCCCCACTTGCCTTCTTATCCCTGCTCACCTTTGTTCTGGGATCGATGAGGCTGACCCCATACTTGTTGATGGCAATTAGAAGGATCTCAGGGAAGTTTGGCTCTGTAGTTTGCTAGAAAAAAAGAGAAGGCATCAGATGGGGGCCCAGAGCAAGAAAAGCGTTTGGGGAAAGGAATGAAACCTGGCCCCGGCTGGGATAAAGTCAGCCTCTCCTGTTGCCTATGTGGTGCTGACGGCCCTGCCATGACCTCATGGCCTCCACCTTCGCTGGGCCTCAGTGCTGCCCCACATCCCTTCATGGGTCCCCCAGGCCATCCTTTGCTTTGTCCTCCCTCTCAGCCCAAGGGCATCTCATCTTTAAAAAGCCTCCTGAACCCTGCATCTGCCTCCAGCTACTTACCTGTTCTCGCACAGCCGAACTTCTCAAAAGGCCTCCGATCCTAGCTGTGTGACAAGACCACATCTGTCCTCTCACACCAGCCTCCTCACCATACTCCTGCCTCTGTTGTGCCCCTCAGACCCCTCCTCCACCCACAGCCTGAGAGGCTTTCTGGCCATGTCACCTGGGTTGAAAACCCTCCAAGGCAGGCACCGCTGCAGGAAACCCAGCCTCTCACCTGCTTGGCAAGCTGCTGCTCTCCACAGCCTGCTCTTGCCTCCTGCCCTCACTACTTGCATTTCCTTCCCAGACCTGAGTTCTCACGCCTCCAGGCCTTTGTCTATGCGGGACCCCTGCCAGGAGCACTCTTTCCAGGGTCTCCCTGGAAAGCTCAGATATCACCTCCTCTAGGAGGCCTCCTCAGACCCGGCAGAACCTCCCGAGCTCCGCCACCTGGGCGAGGGCTCCCCACTGTCAGAGCATAGGCCGTCCTCCATTACCCCGGCCTGTTTACACGCCTGCCTCCACTGCCAGGCTGAGCTTTTGGTCCCTCTGTCCCCAGGACTTAGCCCAGCTAAGACGCTGAGCTGGGACAAGGCTGAGGGTACTGCCCTCCTTCCCTCACCAGGGCAGGTGTCCAAGGCCATGGCTGTTTCCCACAGTCCTGGGGAGGAGTCTCTGTGCCTTCTCAATGCCCTGTTCCCCTCCTCCTCTGTTCTGAGAAGCCCATGGTGTACCTTCACCTCGAAGAAGGCTGAGCCAAATGTGGGCCACTTGAAGATGAGCTTCAGGAAGGCCAGCTTGGCCTCCTCCTTGGACTTCCCTGCGTGCTTGTTGAAGTAGGCGACGATGGACTATGGGGACAGGGGGGTCAGGGCTGGGCTCAGTCCTGGGGACAAGCCTGCTCAGGGCAGGCCTGCTCAGAGCTCAGAGTCCTCCCCACACCACCCCTGCCCACTCCAGCCCCATCCTGGAGTGCTGTGAAGGGCTCTCCCCATATTGCAGCTAATGGACTCCCGACCTCCCTTCTCACCCCCAGGCAGGCAGACCAAAGGGTATCAAGGACAAGCAGGTCACCATGGTAACCAGGACAGGGCAAATGACTGCCAATTGGCCACTGAGTGCTTGGCATGGAAGACTGAAGGATAAGGCAGGCAGAGGAACAAGGGTGGGCGGCCTCATCGAGTACAGGAACCACAAGACACACCTCCCTGGGCTGCTGGCCAGCGTCTGCCCCCTTGGCCCCTGGGGTGCCCAGAGGCCCATTCAGGGCCCCACCATTCCTGCTGCCCACCCCATGCTCACCCGCTTCCAGTCATCAGGCGAGACCTGTCGGATAAGGTCCTGGGGCACCAGCTCCCGCAGCAGCTTGGGGATGCTGGGGAAGTAGGACTTGTCCTCCTCGAACTTGACCCTGTAGATCAGCGCCCCCAGCTGCAGCACCTCCTCCCGCGTGCACTTGTGGTAGCCTCGGAGATACTTGGGCAACTCCTGCCAGAGACAGAGCAGGTCACAGGCGTGCAGGGACCTGGCAGAAGTGGGCTCTTTTCCTACCACACCAAGATCCCCAAGGCCAGGGTCTACCACCTTACCCTGCACATGGGCCCACCCACCTTTCCAGCCTCAGCTGACACTGCTCCCCCAGGGGAGATGGCACAGGACAGGGACAGAGCAAGTCTGCCTGCACAGACTCAGCACTCGGCAGTTGGAGCGCATGGCCTTGTCTGTTACCTCATATCCCCCTGTAACAGTCCAGTGAGATGAGCAGCCCCATTTCAAGATGAAGAAACTCAGAGTGACCAGCTGGCAACCCTGAGACTGTTCTATACCTGTCACCTCCTGGGCCCATTCTCCTTTGGAAGAGCCTCTCAGTCTGGCCTCCTTGCATTGGGTTCTCTTGAGACCAGCTGCTTTTAGCAGCAGCAGCAACAGAGGCCCTCACACCCCCTTGAACTTCCAGACCCCAAACCTGAGGAACTTATGCTGGGGAATCAGCTCAGGGCAGAGACGAAGCCTCTGAAGGGCTGGGGCTGCCCACAGACTCCTGGAGCCTTATGATCATCTCATGCACGATTTGAAAGGTAGAGAAACTGAGGCTGACCTGAGGACATACTGTCAATCAGAGACCTGAGTCAATCATTAGCTATCCTATCCACCCATCCATGTGGTTATGGGTCTATCTACCTACACATCTACCTCCATCCATCTCCCTACCTGTCCATCCATCTACCCACCCATCCACCCACTCACCTACCTACTCACCCATTCACTCACCAATATCCACCCATCAATTCACTCAGCATTCATCCTCCCACCTATATGTTCCCTGAGTCACCGGTTTACCTATTCCCCATTCATCAATCCAACAAGTATGCATTGAACATCTATGAGCCAGGCCCTTTAAGCAACAATGCCTACCCTCCCTACTCCCATGGAACTTGGAGTCTCAGGGCAAGGACAGACATTAAAAATCATACCAAACAGATACATAATGACAACCTTCGAAGGAATTGTTCACAGTGCCATAAGAGAATATAACAAGGTGACCTAATCTAGGCTTGAGGGCAGGGCAGACTTCCTTTAAGATAAGATGGCTGATTGACATCTAAAAGCTCAGTAGGTGAGGGAAGAGCATCCCAACATTACGACGGCCCCGTGGCACACTTGAGAAGTGGAAACAATCCAGCTGAGCCAAAGGAGAGCCAGGTACAAGGCAAGGCAGCAGGAGCAGGTAGTGGTACCACCCGGCAGGGCCACGGTCAGGACGGGGGTTACGCCCTAAGAGCAAGGGGAAGCCACTGGGGGAATCTGGAAAGCAGGACGACCACCCTGTGGAGAAAGGGTTGAAAGGGCCAAAATAGATGAGGAGAACAGGGAGACGGTCACTGCCTCCATTCTGGATCAGAGATGATGGTGGACTGACCCAGGTTGGGAAGGTGGTGATGGAGACACATGGGGGATTTTAGAGATATCCAGGAGGTACAGTCATCAGGTAAGTGATTTGGGACGTGGGAGAGGAGGAGCAAATGTCAAGGCTGACTCTGGGGGAACTGGCAGTCCAGGGGCCATGCACTCAGTGGGCAGCAGGGGGTGGGTGGGGAGGGGCATGAGGGAAAGGCAGATCCCAGGTTTGGATGAGGGCAGTCCTTCTCACTCCCAGGCCAGTGTCCTCTCTGCCACAGCAGCCACCATCCCTGCCTCCTCTGCCCTTCCTAGCATCCTGGTTTTTCTCCCACAGAATGGCAAGCAGGTTGGGCCCAGAAAAGAGCACCAGCCTGCAGTCATGAAGACCTGGAATCAAACCCCAGTTCCATTGGCTGTGTGATCCTACTTACAGCACGTGGCCTCTCTGAGTCTGTTTATCCCTCTGTCAAATGGGGACGACATGCCTGCTTCTTGGGGTTATTGGGAGGACAGAATGAGAGAAGAATGCCAGATACATAATAGAGGCTCAACATGCAAGCCTCCCTCCCGGCTTCCTTCAGGTGCCTGTGCTAGAAAATGTTTGCACAGAGGCCTTGGAGTTACCCAGTTACAGCAGCAGAATCTCAAAGTCAGAGAACAGCCCTGCACTGAAGGAGGGGCCTGAACAGGTAGGGATCAGAAGCTCAGAGGAGGAACTGTCAAGCCCCTAAGGGCTGAAGAGTCAGGAGATACAAGGATCAAGGGTTGGGCCCTCTCTTGGGGCTCCAGTGGTCTTGGCAGGAATCCTTTCAAGGCCAGGCTGGTACAGGCCCCACACCTGGCAAGGGCAGTGGGTCTCTGCTTTCAGGGCCAAAGTACAGCAACACTAGCCATGCATGAAGGCAACTAGAGTGCAGAGGTGCCTACCTGGTAATAGTGGAAGATGGAATCGGCCATGGGGTCCTTCCCTGGCACCGTGGTGGTCCACAGCTTCTTCATGAAGAACACCTGGTAGGTGAGTGAGGGCACAATTCCTGCAGCACAGGGCAGTCGGTCACCCAGAGGGTCCCTGCACAGAGGAGTGCTCACATCCCGAGCCCAGCCCAGCCCCAGCCCCAGAGGAGACCCTCGCTCAGGCCCGCCTAGGTGGGCCTCACAGCATGGCCCTGAACCTGTGCCTCCCTACTCTGGGCCTCAGATGATCCCAGGACCCGGCCTCATTACCGTCCTTGATGGGCCGAGCTTTCTTTATCCAGTCTGTCAAGTGTCGAACAAAGTCAAAGAAGAAGTCATTCTCAGGCACGCTGATGACCTGGGGACAGGGCCATTGAAGCACACTTAGTTTAAGAAACACTGCATTTTCTGACCTTCCCACCTAAGGCCTGTCTGGCAGCTCCTTCTCAGGGAAGACTCCACTTCCAGCCAGAAGGGGTTTCTGTGGGTCAGCCCCACCCTGCCCCATGTGCCTGTTGAGTGTCCCCAGAACAGTCCACTTCTTGCCGGGAGTGATGGTCATTCCATTCAGTGCCTGGGACACTGAAGGCTGCCTTAGACTCAAGGGAAACTGGACAAGAATGCAGCCCAGCCCCTGGCTTGGACATTCTCTGGCATCCATGTCCAGATCCTCCCACAGCTCTGGGCACCCCTGGGTCTAGGACCTCATCAGGGTCACCTCTGGGTCCCAGTGTCTGGCACAGAGACAGTCATGAAGTGAGCAGACAGACACAGATGCACACAGAGCCATCAGCAGGCAACAGGATGAGGCACCTAACTCGGTCAGGGAGGCCTTCCCGTGGAGGGGGCTTTAGCTAGGCCTGGAAGACTTCCAGGGACAGAGGTATTTGGAGAAATGGGATGTGAGATGGTAGCAGGGGCATGAGCTTTAGAGTCAGACCCACCTGGAGCTCAGTCCCTGCTGTGTGACCTTGGACAAGTTACCTAACCTCTCTGAGTCCTAGTTCTGTGATCTATCAAGTGGGGATGATCACACCTTATTTCAAGGGTTAATTTGCCCTAGCATGGCAATTAAGGGCCAGTCAAAGCAAATCTGGAAAGAACGTGTGTTGGGGCAGGGTGAGGGTCTGGTGTGTCTAGAACACAGAGCACCTGGGCACATGCCCCTAAGAGGGTCTGAGCCATGTCCAGTGCCTCAGAAGAGAGAGAGCTGGGGGCAGCCACTCCATGTAAGGGATGGAAGAAGATGGCCAGATACCAGTGCCCTCTTCCCCTCTCTCCCCTAGTCCCTCTGTCTTCCTTCTGCTGTCCATAAGTTCTTATTGCCCCAGCAAATCTCCCACCTTGGCAAAGGTGGCGAAGGTGGCGAAGGACCCACCTTGTCTGCAATTTTGACAAAGAGGCTGAATCCCTCTGAGGACTTGAGGAGCAGCCTGGTGGCGATGTTCTGGCAGAAGTCCTTGGCCTTGGTGCTGGACTCCACTTCGAAGGCCTGGGAGGGGCGGTGAGCACTGGGCTCCTGCAGGGCCTTTCCCAGGACCTGGTCCTCCCGGGCCCCTCTGGCTGTGCCTCCTATACTGAGCCCCCTCACGTGCCAGACACCCTCCTGTGGGCCCAGAGCTGGGCATGGCGTTTAACAAAAGGAAAGGGCTACACCTGTCTGGGTCTTCCCAGGTCTCCTCCTCCCGACCCTCCAAGCAGAACGTGGCCTTGGCGTCCAGAGTCCTGGGCCGGGGTGTACAACCCTGAGTGACAGTGAGGGGTCCAGGGAGCACAGCAGGATGATTGGAAGGGTGATTGGGAGGAGGAGACTTGAGGTAGAGGAGAAGCAAACCCAAAAGTGGAGGGGAAAGCAGCCCAGACAGATGGGAGGGTTTGAGCATCTGGGGAAGTTTAGATGCAGGAGGAGAGACGTCTGGAGGGACAGGAACGGATGTGAGGAAGTCCTTGGTCCTTGCAACTAAAATCCTGTCGTGGCATTTCTGAGTCTCCAGCCTCAGACAAATTTCATCAACGACTCTTCAAATGAAAAATTTATCTGAATGAGACACTGTGTTGAGACAGGCAGGGGCTGGGGACCATGAAGGGCAGCGTGACTACAGGCATGACAGACAGGACCTTTGGCAGACAGGACCTGGATGGAGGGAACCTCAACCACCTCAGGTGGGGAGGGAGGAAGGGCTGTCGAGGTTCTGGCTGCAGGAAAGTGGGCTCAGGTGACAGGGGAGGCCTGGACCTGGGGACCAGCGGGGCCCTGCACCAGGGAGGTGCAAAGCCAGCTCAGAGGGAGAAGTGCTTTTCTCCAAGGCAGGTCCTCCTCAGAGACAGGGAGGGAGGGGTGCCCTTCTGAAGGAAGCTGCTCCAGGAAGCAGGGGCTGGATCAGGAACTAAGAGCCCCTGACTTGGGGAGTCGATGGCCTTTGTCCTGAGCTCTGACTCCACTATGGGGAAGGAGGACGAGGCAGCAAATGTTGGGTGCTGGGGGAGAGGCTTAAGGCTGCCTTTGGTGTCCACCCAGGAAGCCCGGCCCTGTCCTGGGCACTGCAGACCTAGAAGCTGGTGACCCTCACCTCGTCAGTGTCGTCAGGGAAGTAGACCTTGTGGAAAATCTGGGTGGTCTTGTGCTGGATGGCCTCCACCTCCACCAGGTGTGGAGGGTACTTCCGGGACCCATTTCTGAAAAGGTGACAGAGGCAGCAGGGAGCAGGTGCGTGGGACTGTGGAGACCAGGGGACCGGGACATTTGGAGGCAGACAACCCCAGTTCTGATCCTAGCCTGCCACTTCCTATGATGTGACTGGCCACTGAGTCTCCCAGAGCCTTGAGCTCCTCATCTGTAAAATGGGATGATGGGTGTGGAGAGGCCCAGCAAAGTGAAGAACGCAGTGCCCTTGGAGAGTATGAAGTGGGCCCTGGTGTCTGTGCCCACCGATAGCCTGGGAGCTCTGGGCTGAGCACTCCAGAGCAGCCGGACTCTCCAGCTGCATCCCGAGCAGCTGCGGGGCCTGCACCTCCTTCTACCTGGCAGTTGAGGTACCCCAGGGGTTGGCCCAACTGCTATGTGGTCCTCATCCCCAAGGGGCTCGTTCCACAAGCCCAGTGTGGCCAGGAGCCTGCCCCAGTGTCTGCCCCTGCCCCTGGCGGCCGCTGTACCTCAGGGCTTTCTGGAGCCGCTGCAGGCAGTCGATGGCTAGTGGGCAGTGCTTTCGGGACTGCAGGAAGCGCTGCACGTGGGGCAGGAGGATGTTGCTGGGTGGGAAGAGGCCCGTGCACAGCCAGAGCAGCTCCCAACCTCGCTCCTCGCTGTACCTGCAGGAGGAAGCGCGGGCTCCAGCAGGGGCAGTTGCCATCAGGAGTCACAAGACCTGTACACCCCCCGGTGAGGGGGCCATACACCCCTCAGCTGCTCATCACAGCAGCACCGTCCCTCCCGACCCTTAACCTGTCTCAGGACCCCTCAGCCTACCTACAGACCCCTCTCCCTGACAGCCAGATGCAACCAGTGCTACCCAAAGTTTGCTTGGCCCACTGCACCAGGCCACATACTGCTACCACATGGAGATAAGAGGCTTATGTCACAGTGAAAAGCCACCAGTTTACCATGCCCTCTGCTTCAGCTGAGGCTTTTTGTTTGTTTCCATAGCGAGACTTTCTCCATGAAGGAGGCAGCGTGATTTATATTTTGGCAGAAGCTCTTTAATTCACCTGTACTTTGAGTGGCAACAAGTTAGACCAGTCCCACCCCAGGCTCCTTCAGCGACCACTCTGAGCTTCTTGGGTCTGACAGTGGGAAGTTTGGAGGGCTTCTAGGAGGAGGTGGCATTTGAACTAGGCTTTGAAGGATGAAGCAAATTACAGCATGCAGAGACGGGGCTGAAAAGTTTTCCTGGCTGTGGGCACAGCATGTACAAAGGTTTGGCACTGTCGAAAGAGCTGATGTGTCGTTTGAGGATGGATTTGTGGAAGAGATGTAGAGGGTGACACAGCTGGGGAGGAAGGCGGGGGGCTGGGTGTAAGGAGAGAGGGTGGAGCTTCTCTCAGACTCTGAGAGGAGCCGGTACCTGACTTCCTACTCCTGCCTCGGGCTGTCCCAAGGAGAGGAGAAGGTGGCACCCTTTGGGCATTGGGCCCAACACCCAAACCCATGAGAGTTTTCAGCCAGTGCTTTCAGCTGACAGCCGGCCCAGCCTGCACCAGGGAGGGGACACTTGACTGAGCTGGACCTGCAGGCAGACAGCAGCATCTAGGCAGGGGAGGGGCATCCAGAGGGGGCTCCAGCCAAACAGGAGGAGCTGGGGCTGTTACCCTTAGAGGACAGACTCAAAGGAAGACAGCCACCACCTCCCAGTTCCTGCTAGGCCTTCCTTGGGCCTTGGAGCCAAGCTAGGATGTGAGGGGGCCCATGAGCAGCTCCTGGCTCTGTGTGAGGAAGGACTGCATCCAGGCAGAGCCAGCGGCTGTCTCAGGAGGGAAAGAGCTGCCCGTCACAGCAGGTGGGGTCTGCCCCTCGTCCACCCACCGTGCCTGGCTCACCTGATGTGGTTGTCGGTCAGCTGCTTCAGGATCTGCACGTACGCCTCATCCTTCAGGGGCTCGGCTTTCAGGGGACCCTCAAAAATCTGGTCGGTGAGCTCGTTGACAGACCGTGTCCTCTTGGACGGGTAGTCGCCCATGTACTTGAGCACAGGTGGGGACTGTCAAGGAAGGGCTTGTGCCGAATAGAGGGGCACTGGCCTGGGGTCTGGAGGCCCCACTCCCCACAGGGCCTGCATCACCTGAAGCTGTGACACTGGGCCCTCAGGCTGCATACTCACAAAATGGGCGTGATCTGCCCCACCCTCTATCCTCACCTCCTCACAGCCACCAGCCCCGCATCCCAAGCCCTCACAGCAGCTGGGACGGACTGCCCAGATCGCCAATCTGACCATGCCACCCCTGCCCAGTAGTTCACCCTGGCCTTGGGACACGGCCCAAGCTTCCTCACAGGGCTTGGGAACCCTGCCTAGGCCCACTCTTCCCATCCTCTCTGTGCTGAAGCCCGGGAGCCCTGGAACAGCCCTGCTCTGTGTGTGTGTGTGTGTGTGTGTGTGTGCGCGTGTGTGTGCGCGCGCGCGCCTCGGGGCCTTACTGCTACTCCCTCTCTCTGGAACACTCCCCACCCCTCTCCCCTTTGCCTGGCTAAGTCCTACTTAGCCTTCAGGGCTCAGTCTAGATACCACTTCCTCCAGGAAGTCCTCCCTGCCCCCTCCAGGTCACATGGGTCAGGTCACAGCTGCCCGGTCCCATCTCAGCACTGATCTGGATGTGCGTATGGCCCCATGAGGCCAGGGGCTGGGCTGATTCCTGCTCTACCTCCATGCCTGGCCCAGCACAAGGCACCAAATCCACCTGGCACCCAAATGACAGGGTCAGAGGAGAAAATGAGCGAGGCAGCCCCTTGCATATCAAAAGGTGCAAGGGAGGGGGTCCTCCATCAACCCTCCCCACGCGTGCCCAGGCCGCAGCAGGCCCTCAGGAGGAAGGTGGTGTGCAGATGAAGGCCCTGCCCAGTCCCTGGCTCCGCTGGGTACAGCCCAGTAGCATGGATATCAATGAAGGCCAGGCAGGCCTCCTGCGAGAGCTCCTCACTGCCCAGGAGCTTCTTGAGCAGCGCCTGCTTGAGCGGCTCCCGCGTGTGGCTCCATAGCCGGTCCTTGCCTCGGGCCTTGGACACCATGACGCGGCTCAGCGTGTGCTTAGGTGGGGGCCTGCCATAGCACAGGGACCGTCAGCAACGGCCCCATTGCTGGCAGCCCCAGGGAGAAACCCCCAGGTTGTGAGACCCCCCCACCCCCACCTACCCCCTGTGCCCAGAGGCTGAGGGTGGGCACCAGGCCCTGCTTTTCCCTGCCCTGCATGTGACCCGAGGCGAGTCACTGGCAGTCACTGGGCCTTCCTTTCTCAGCTATGAAACAGCGGTGAGAACACCCCGGGCTGTGCCCCAGCCTCCCCCACCACCCTGCGCCCCCTGCAGAGCTCAGTGCACACCACCTCCATCAGGAAGCTTCTCACTGCACCCCCCACCCCCCACCCCGAAAGCATCCTCATCACAGTGCTGGGCACGCAGAATCCCAGCTGCCTGCTTCCGGCCTGCATCCCCACCAGGACTGAGGCTCGAATGCCCAGCCTGGGGCAGGTGCAGTGACATCTCTTAAATGAAGGAAGGATAAGATGAGACACACAGGACGGGTCATCAGACAGAAACAGCCCTCCAGCTCCCTCTGACCCAGGTCCTGCTCACAGGTGGGGGCTTCACAAAGTATCCCCAGCACACAACCAGACGGTAGCGGAAGCCTGCAGCTCCTAGCCCTGTGACTCCCGTCCTTCCCCAGGAGCCATCACCTGAAGTAGTCGTAGGAGAACTCCTCCAGCGTGTAGGGCTTGGCACGCACCTCAGGCTCTGCCGTTCGCAGCTGCAAGAGCCGGACGACGTCCTGCCGCTGGTCGGGAGTCATGGTGACCAGGGCCTAGGGGCCAAAAGACAGGGGGCTCAGGTCAGCTCTCCACCTGCAGCCACCAGGATCAACATGGTATACCCTGGAGCCTTCTGGACTCTGGGAGACTCTTCAGGGGGATGGACCCCATGCCCCATTCTGACCCTGGGAGCCCTGTTCCTCCTTGGGGTCTCTGAGGTCCCTGCTGCCTCTTTTGTGCTGAGCTGAGGGCCCTTCCCTGGGTGTCCGATGAGGTCGGGTCAGTCAGAAAGCCTGGACGAGGCGGGGGACATGGTGTGAGAGCTGCCTCGTCCACTGAGCCTGGCTCAGGAGCCACTGGGGAAGCTGGGCTGTAAGTCCTCAGAGCTGCTCTTAAGGGGGCTCCAGAAGAAGCAGGGCCCCCTTGCCAGCTGTGCCCCCACTGCCTGTTCAGACAGTGCAGGTGATACACCTCTCTCCAGTCCCCATCTCCAGCCCCACCCCTTGGCAGTTCCTCATCTGATGCCATTTCTAGGCCCCTCCCCACCTGGCACAGGTTTGAGCGCTGCCCCAACTTTAAATGTGTGGTCCCATAAGATCCCAAGATCATCTTCACAGATGCACTAGACCATTAACCTATCGTACAGCTGTGGGAAGTGGACGAAGAGGGGTCTAATGGCACCTCCCACCCATCTGCTGCCCCCAGGCCACATACCACAATCTCCCGCGGTGGCATGGTGACAGTGGGCATGACGTACACACAGTCAGTGGGGAAGTCCCCACGCTGCTTGGTCCTCTCATTGATGCCGTTGGCCCAGCCCGAGTTCATGACCTGCTCACCCGTGTCGTGGTCCAAGATGATGAGGTCTCCCTTGGCAAAGCTGAGGAAGCCTGACTCCTCGCCCGCTGCAGGGCAGAGGTGAGCGGGACCACGGGGGCAGAGACAAGCTGAGTTGGAACATCTTTATTTGGGTTGATGATCTACAAGCCACTACTTCCCACAGAAGAACTGAGGTGCTGTCACTCGTGTCTGCCCACTTGCCACTCTGCCTCCACCTTGTCACAACTCTCCATACAAAGACCATCACCAGAGTGGGCTACTCTCCTGCTCAAAAGCCTTCTACGGCTCCTCATTGCCCTTGGGAGGAAGCCCCACACTCCTAAGCCTGTTGTGAGCAGGCCTCCCAGACTCCCTCCACCTTGCCCCTCCTCCCTCACCGTGCCTGTTTCCAGCCAAACCAGACTGTCTGCAGTTGCCTGGATAGGCCAGCTTTCTCCCGCCTCTGTGCTGGCATCACATTCAGCTTTCTGGTCCCTGCGCTCTGCTCACACGGGCTTCCTCCCAGGAGCTTCTTGAGCAGCGCCTACCAGTCTGCATGGGGCCTCTCCTCTGGGCTCCTGTGGCTCTGGGTTTCCCTGCTTACTGCACCGTCACAGGCCTGTCACTGTCTGCTTCCCACCCACTCCCCACTGAGGACAGGGTGGGGTCCATTTCATCTTTGTCTTTCCCACACTCTGCCAGGGCCTCGGTGGCCTCCGGCAGAGTAGTTGTTACTTGCTGTTATCACTTGAAGATGGTGCGTATTTTGAGAACACTGAGGAGGACCCTGATCTAACTTGGAGAGCTGACAGGAGATGAATATTGAAGAGCCAGAAGACGGGAGGGAGAGGAGATTCCCCACAGACCACAGATTGAAGGCTATTTGGTCTAGTTTCAGGGGAAAGATGGGAACAAGACCCTAGCAGCCTTGAGTGCCAAGGCCACGGGGCATGGTCTGTGATATGGTTCAGATATTTGTTCCCTCCAAATCTCTCTGTTGAAATCTGGTCTCCCAGTGTTGGCAGTGGCCTAGCGTGAGGTGTTTGCATCATGGGGGTGGGGCCCTCATGAACAGCGTGGTGCCGCGCTCGCAGTGATGAGTGAGTCTCTGCGAGAACTGATGGTTTAAAAGAGCCTGGCAACTCCTCCTCTCTTCCTTCCTTCTGATGCAAGCTACCCCTTCTGCTTCTGCCGTGAGTGGAAGCTTCCTGGGGCCTTCATCAGAAGCAGATGCTGGTGCCATGCTTCTTTTTTCTCTTTCTTTTTTTTTTTAAGAGATGAGGTCTCACTCTTGCCCAGGCTGGACTGCAGTGGCACAATCATGGCTCACTGCAGGCTCCACCTCCTGGGCTCAAGCAATCCTCCTACCTCAGCCTCCTGAAGAGCTATGACTACAGGCACATGCCATCACACCCAGCTAATTTATTTAATCTTTTGTTGAAACAGGGGTCTCACTATGTTGCCCAGGCTGGTCTTGAACTCCTGGCCTCAAGTGATCCTCCCATCTCAGCCTCCCAAAGCTCTGGGATTGCAGGCATGAGCCACCATGCCCAGCCAGCACCATGCTTCTTGTAGTGCCTGCAGAACTGTGAGCCAAATAAACCTCTTTTCTTTATAAATCTCCCAGCCTCCAGTATGCCATTATAGCAACGCAAATGGACTAAGACAGTCTGCGTAACGCCCTGACCCCCAGTGCCAGGCAGCCCATACCAGCAGTCACTCACCGGGGTTGGGGTTATCCTGCAGGGCCACAACATACTTAGATCTCTTCCGGAGCCCCTCTAGGAAGGTGACCACCAGGTCACGAATGTCCTCAGCATTGCTAGAGGTGAAGGTGTATTCGTCCCCCTTGATGGTGGCCAGTGTGAAGCTGGGGGCTGTCGTTTTCGCTCCCCTGCAGGACCAACACGGAGAACAGGGCCCCGCCGGGGTCAGTCCTGCCCAGCCTGAGTGAGGCGCAGCACAGCCAAGATCAGAGCAGCCCAGTGAGAGCCAGACACGGCACTCCCTGAAGGAGACCAAGGCCAGTCGAGTCAGACATGCCCCAGCCAGTGGGAGATGTGGCCCAGCTCAGACACATCTCAGGTTAAGTCAGAGCTGGCCTGGCCAGAGTCAGGCATGGCCCAGAGGGAGACCCACACTGGCCCGACCCACTTCTCCTCTGCCTGTCTAATTCCTACTCACCCTTTAAATCTCAACCTACATGCCACTTCCTCCAGGTAGTCCTCCCTGCCCTCCCACAGCCCTGATCATAGCATGCTTTAAAATGGCCTATTCAATGTCTTTCTCCTCTCTTGACTGAAGATCCAAGAGGACAAGGACTATCTTGTCACTACTGCATCCTGTGTGCCTGGCATGTGTCTGGTCTCCAGCCCATATCAGACATAACCCAAAGACACTGCTACAAGCCCCAGATGGTGGGGGAGGGAGCCACTGCACTGCTGGGAAAGCCAGTCAGTCCCAGCAACCCACCCCACCATTCCACCTGTGTGGCCGTGCTCTGCAGTTTACAAAGAGCTCTCCCATCTATTATTGCATTCATTCCTCACCACTGTTGTGCAAGAAAAGTATTAAGACTCCTGCTTTAGGAATGAAGACAGAGAGTGAGTGCTAACCAGGCCCCTGAACCCCAGGTCAAGCTCTTTTGTACACACTCGCCTGCCCCTACCTGTCCTGACAGCCCAGTCCTGTCTCAGAACAGCCTTAATGTGCTGTAAAGCCCATGCCCATCCCTCCGCTAGGAGGTGCCAGAGGGGTCTTCACAGTGCGGTACAAACTGCCCAATCACGAGCAACCAGGCAGGCCACTTCATGTCTCTTCACTTCCAGTGACCCGCAGGGAAGCTCCGGCCCCTCTCCTTCCCCTCTGTCTGTCTGCGTCTCCATGCGGCCCTCCTCACCTGCTGCTGGACACGGCCATGATCTCTGGGAAGGACAGCTCCAGAAGTACCTGCTCCTGCTCATCCACAAAGTACACGCCTGTCCAGTTGACAGCCACGATCACATCGTTCTTGGGGAGGCTGGGGCCTGGGGTCGAGACCAAGGCACTGAGAGGCAGGCCTCCCACCCCTAGGCCCAGCTCTTCTCAGTCCTCATAATGGCCAAGGAGGTGGCAATACACTGATTTCTGTTTTACAGATAGGGAAACTGAGGCCCAGAGAGCACAAACTCGCTATGTGACAAAACCCAAAGTGCAATAGGAAGAGAGTGTTGAATTGGGAAACTGGTTTGGGTCCCACTCCTGCCACTGGTCTTTGTGCAGCTTTGGACAAGTCCCTGCCCTGCACTGAGGTGGGATCTGGGGCGGGGTTGGACTGAGACCCAGGGTTCCCTCCGGCCCTGGTACTTGGTGGTTCTGTGAACAGCAGCATCAGCACAGGGCCTGGCACAGAGCAGGTGCCCAGTAACGATGGCCCAAGGACGGCTGAGCCAGTGGCCTGTGTGGGCCACCCTGTTCTATACACAGTACGTGCCTTAATGAATCAATCCTCACTCAGTTTTTCAATCTTATGCACCACCGAGCACATAAGATGTGCCATGGAGTCGCTACTGGGTGTTGGGGAGGCAGGACCCACTCAGCAGCATTGACCAGAACAGACCAAGCAGCCAGCAGGCAAGAGTTCCATTGACGGGGGCCCCTGGCTCAAGCCGCTTCCCTCCCCTGTTGTGGGCTGGAGCTACAGAGCAAGGGAGTGGGAGCGTCGCAGGCTGGGGGTACCTGAGAATTTGTAGGCTTCATAAAACCTGGAGAAGAGTAAGGGCCACTTAAAGCGGGCGTAATTGACCACATCCTCTTTGACCTTCTGGGCATCAGTTCTCCTCTGGGCATAAATCCCCTGGAGGGAAAAAAGGGACAGAGGGACACAAGACAATGTACAGGTGAGTTTGCTCTAAAAATCAGCTGCTGCTGCCTTCTAGCTAGGAGCAGCCTGGGGCTCCTGCACCTCCTGTGCATCATGGCCTTGCCCTGCTCCCATCTGTCTGCAGCCACCCTGTCCCCACCCTTCTCATTCATCAACATCAGCGAGCACTTTCGAGTGCCACCTCTATGCAGGTGCTGCGGCCCAAAGTCAGAGAAAGCATAGCTGCCCCTCCAGGGAGTTCCCAGTTGAGCAGAGACAGGGAAGCAAGGATTCCAGCCAGAGCATGTGGGAGGCCCAAGGTCCCGGGTCAGTGCAGACTGCAGACTGCAGACTGGGAAGAGAGGGAATGGGGACACAGCGTGGGAAGCCAGGTCCTGGCGGACTGTGAGTGCAGCCACAACTGCAAGAAACTGATCTGGTGAATCTGGGAGTTAGAAAGATCAGTGTGTCCAGGGAGAACTGGACCCTGGAGGTGAGGTGATCTGTGGGGGGTGCTGCTGTGCTCTTGGTAAGATACAAAAGCACCAGCATTGTGTTTCTCTAAAAATACTTCCCCAAGCGCTAGTGAGAACTCTGGGGTTCTGGGGTAGCATTGGAGGGGTCAGAGTGAAATCCTGGTTTTTATAGTATATAGACACAGGAATAGGTAAGAGTGGATGTGTATGCCAGCTCACAGACGGCCCCATCTCCACCCATAAGAGAGCCCATGAGGGGTGCCATCCTGAGAGCAGTGAGAATTCAGAGGCAAATGGCTCAATGTCATCAACCCAAGCTCAAATGACTCAGAGAAAATACATATGTAGGCAGAGAGACAAATCACTGAGCAAGTGTGGCTAGCATCCAGTGAATCTGGGAAGTGAAGTGCACACAGCAGTCCTACTTTTTTGAATGTGCAATTTCTCCATAAGTTTGAAATTATTTCAAAATAAGATGTTTTCAAAACACCTCTGTTATGGACTGAATTGTGTGCTTCCTTCCCCCACCCACTATATTTGCATATTAAAGTCTTCACCCCCAGAATGTAACCTTATTTGGAGATAAGATTTTTTTTATTTTTTTATTTTTGAGAAGGAGTCTTGCTCTTGTCCTCCAGGCTGGAGCACAATGGCACAATCTCAGCTCACTGAAACCTCTGCCTCCAAGGTTTAAGTGATTCTCCTGCCTCAGCCTCCCGAGTAGCTAGGATTACGGGCACCCACTACACACCTGGTGAATTTTTGCATTTTTAGTAGAGACGGGGTTTTGCCATGTTGGCCAGGCTGGTCTCGAACTCCTGACCTCATGATTCACCCTCCTTGGCGTCCCAAAGTGCTGGGATTACAGGCGTGAGCCACCACGCCTGACCCAGAGATAAGGTCTTTAAAGAGGTCACTAATGAGATCTTTTGGGCGGGCTGTAATCCAATATGTCTGGTGCCTTTTTAAGAGGAGGATATTTGGACTCAGATGTGCATGTGCACACGTCACCGTGTGGTGACAGATGGAGAGGATGGCCATCTGCAGGCTGAGAGGAGAAGCCTCAGGAGAAAGCCCCTGCTGACACCTTGATCTCGGAGCTCCAGGCTCCAGAACTGGAAGGAAATACATTTATTTCTGTTGTTGAAACCACCTAGTCTGTGGCACTTGGTTATGGCAGACCTAGAAAATGAACAATGCACCCTCCCACCCTACAAAAACTGTGATTCACAACTGTCCATTCTAGGAGGGCCTGGCCCAGGGCTCCGGGTCAGATACTCTGAGGAGCTTCAGTCCAGGAGAGACCCAGCTTAGCTGTGGGCTCCAAAGGGCAGAAACCGTGTCTGTCCAACAAAGGGCTGTGTCTCCAGGTCCTGGTGCCCAGCACATGACAAGCACCCAAAATAAAATGAATGCATAATAATAGCACCCCACCCAGGACGTACCACATGCCACAGTGGCAGTGAGCCCCGAGGAGGCCCTCACGGAGGTGGGGGTGGAGGCTGCGGCTGTTTGGAAGGCAGCTGGACAGGCTGCAGTGACTGCCGGCACGTGAGGGCCAAGGGAGAGGAGGTGCCTGAGGATGAAGGGCAGGGGTCTCACATGAGGGACAGAGGGGTGGCAGGGAGGAGACGCTCCTCCTCTGAAGTGGGGTTCAGGGGGGTGAGGGCCTCAGGGGAAGCAGGCTGGCGCAGGGGGCACTTGGGACTCAGGGAGAGGCAGAGGCTGGTGGGGAGCTGACTAGAGAAGGCACACGGTCAGGTGGAGGCGGCACAGGGCTCCCGGGTGAGGACGGAGGCCGCGAGGTGGAGGGGTGAGACCGCGGGCCTGTGGTGCCCTCAGACTATGGAGCCCTCGACTTATGTGCAGGGACAATTCTCTTGCACAGCTAGACCATGGAGATGAGGAGGCCCTGGATCCCCTACCAGCAGCCAGTGCTCCCACCTTCTCTTCATCTGGATACCCCTGCTCTACTTGGGCAGGCTCTTAGCTTGGGAGGGAACCACTCATGGCTGGTTATGGGCCTGGGCTCCAAGCAAGCGGGTCAAGGGGGCCTGTCCCTAAAGCTCCCCAGGCAGGAAGTTGGGCTGGAGTTCTTTTAGGAAAAAGGAGGTACAATTCCTAAAGCCCTGTCTAGCGTCCACCACCTCTCCTAAGCTGCAGCTCTGGAAGCTGTAGCACCAACAAGTGGCTGGCACAAGACCAGGAAAGGGGCCCCAATACCCATGGCCCCACAGAGGCTGCAGGGTTAAGTCTGATCCCCTCTGTGTGCCTGGCACACAGATGGCAGGAGAATGAGTGAGCTGATGTCCAGTGAGGAAGGGCCACTGGGAGGTGGGAGGTCAGGTGCCATGCCATCTCCCACAGCCCCAACAGACAGGTTCAGATGAGGACTGGGACCTCCTTGGTTGTTCAGGTCCACATCCCTTCTCTAAGACTCCTCCCAGCCCTTCACCTTCTTGTGGGCGGCAATGGCCAACTGGGCCCACTTCTCCAGCGTCTTCAGGGGCGTGATCTCGCGGTCGGGGATGTAGGTGGGTACGAGGTTCAGGAGGCGCTCCAGGATCATCTCAGAGCCATAGTCCACAAAGTACTGCTGGGAGGCCAGCTCAGCCAGGTCGTCCTCCTAGGTGGGGGGAGGCCTAGGTCATGCATTGGCCCAGGCCCCTCCAGGAAGCCCTTCCACACCACCAAAGGCTCCAGGCCCCTCTCCTGGCCCTGACTCCTGTAGCTCTCAGAGCCTGGCTTTTGGGACCCAGGCTTCTCATTGATTCACCAGGGAATTCTTGTCTGCTCAGAGGAACCATGAGCTCCCCAAGGGCAGGGCCACACCCTCACCTTGTCCTGGGTCCCTTTCGCACTGGCATGGAGCTGGACTCTGCCCAGGGGCACAAAAAGTGACTCAAAGAAAAAAGCCAGCCCATCGAGCAGCCACTGCACACTCAGCCCTGTGAGACAGTGACCGGAGCTGACAAACAGCAGAAGAGGAAGCATCTGCCCTAGAGAATGGGAGACACCTGGGGTCTGCTGGAGGGGTCAAAGTGAGGGGAGTGCATCACTGTGACTGCCTCCATCACCATCGTTAAGCACTTGGGGGATGGTTAAAGTGGTTAACAGATGGCAGGATCTACTGTAGAGGGTTCAGAGAACCAAGTGGCCATTGGACATTTGCCCCTTCTCTGCCTGGCCTGGTGCACAGCAGCCCCAGTGATGCCTACCTAGGGCTCCCCAGAGCTCCAGCAGCAAGGGCATAGAGAAAGGCTTTTGGGGGTCTTGAAGGCAATAGATATTTTCCAACCAGTTTGAAATATTTCAGAACTTTAGCAACTGATGTGGCTATACTAATGCGCTCTGCCTGAATATTTGCTTACCACCACCAATACCACCATTATCATCACCACTGTCACCAACAAAACTACCACCACTACCTCCACCATCACCACCATCACTACCAACAACACTATCACCAACATCATTACTGCCTCCACCATCACCACCACCACCAACAACAACACTATCACCAACACTATCACCAACATCATTACTGCCTCCACCATCACCAACACCATCACTACCAACAACACTGTCATTGTCAACACCACTATCACTACCTTTACCATCACCATCATCACTACCAACAACACTGTCATCAACACCAGCACTATCACTACCTCCACCACCACCACCATCACCGACATCATCCCTACCTCCAATATCACCACTGTCATCAGCACCAACAATACCATCATCACTAACATCACTACCTCCACCATCACCAACACCATCACTGCCTCCACCCACCATCACTACCATCATCAGTACCAACACCATCACTACATCCACCATCACCACCAACCATTATCACTGTCTCCACCACCACCAACACCATCACTATATCCACCATCACCACCAACCATCATCACTGTCTCCACCACCACCATCAACACCATCACTACATCCACCATCACCACCAACCATCATCACTGTCTCCACCATCACCATCAACACCATCATTACCTCTACCAATGTTACCACCACCAACCATCCTCTTCATTTCCATCACCTCCTTTCTTATCCCTCCCTCACAATCACCAACAGAACCATAGCTACCATTACCATTATCAAAAACAAAACAACCATATAACTCCTGTCCTCAGAAGGAGAAAAAAGAATACACATTTGCAAATTCTGATCCCAAGGAATGGCTGTCTTTCTCATTTAGAGCAGCGCTTACTAGACACACTTAGAACAGTGCAGCAGGTCCTGAGGCACGTCCTCTGTAGCATGCACAGTCACTACAGCAGTGTGGGGGTCTCCTCCACTGGCGAATTCAGGACATGCTCAGAAGCCCTTGCTCCTGACATCTCACCTCACCTCCCGAGCCCCCTGAAGTAGGTGGTGTCCATCCAGGAGCCTGGAGAGTGCCCAACTGCAGTCAGGCTCACCTCAGCCTAAGCTAATGATGGCTCACAGAGGAGCACTCAGCCCAAACGTGGAAAACAGCAGGCTGTGAGCCAAGCCAGCCTGGCAAGAGATTCCCTTCCACTCACCTTCTCACACCTGTACTCCCCAAACTTGACTCCTCGCACCACCTGCTGGTAGATAAGGTTGGTGGCCACGTTGTCCTCAGAGGGGCTGTGCCAGGGTGTGAAGACCTCTTTGCGGAAGAAGAGCCTCCAGGGGGCGTTGCGCTCCTGGGCACCCTGCTCCTTGGCATACTGCTCGCACTGGGAGATGGCGTCCATGACATGGTCGCTGCCGCTGCCCAGGGAGGATACCTGTGGGCACAGCGGGGAAGGGAGCAGGCACAGAGTCAGGGAAGGACTATGAGGAGCCTCGACGGTGCCAACGGTCAGTTCAGACAGAAAACCGAGGCCCAGCGAGGGGCAGGGACATGTCCAAGGCCCCCAGGAGGCAGACCAGATCCCAGCCTTGGGCTCTGAGCAGCACCCCCACGATTGCCTTCCTAGCCTCAGTTCTGGGCACGGTGATGTGAGAAGTCCCATTTTCTAGTAGAAGTGGGAAACTGAACAGAGTACCTGGAAACACAGGAGCATCGGTGAGAAAAATCCAGGCAATCTGTGTCCAGCAACATGGTACCTCCCCTGGGCTTGTGGGCGGGGGCCCCTCTGCTGAGCATGATGTTGCTGGGGGTGGAGGCAAAATCACCCAAGCCCCAGGTCCCGCTCAGCTGAGGAGGCTCTAGCCTTCAAGGCGAGTCTGTGGGCTGTTCACGCCCCAGCTGCTTGAGGGCAAGTGTGAAGGAACTCCTGTTTGCTAAGGAGTTTCTCCATCAGACGCCATAGCAACCTGAGAGGGAATTCCATTCCCATCTGCATGCAAGGGCTGCGAAGCCCTCCCCTCGGCCTGTGCCATGCTCTTCCTTCAGCACCAGGAGAGGATTCACTGGGCCTGGGGACACAGGACTGAGGACATCCTACTGCTGGGTTTTCCCTTGGGTGCCGAAGAGCTCTGTTTTTGTTTTTTTTTCTTTTGAGACAGAGTCTCACTCTGTTGCCTAGGCTGGAGTGCAGTGGCGTGATCTCAGCTCACCACAACCTCCGCCTCCTGAGTTCAAGCGATTCTCCTGCCTCAGCCTCTTGAGTAGCTGGGATTACAGGTGTGTGCCACCAAGTCTCGCTAATTTTTGTTTTTTTTAGTAAAGACAAGGCTTCACTACGTTGGCCAGGCTGGTCTTGAACTCCTGACTTTGTGATCCGACCGCCTCAGCCTCCCAAAGTACTGGGATTACAGGCATGAACAACCGCACCTGGCCGAATTCTCGGCAGTCCTAAGGAGTCAGGCAGAGCCGATTAGCGCCGGCTCAGGGGAAACCGAGGTGCTCAAGGGTGAGTAGCCCCAGCCAGTAGGTGGCAGCACTGGCGGCCTCGACTGGGGCCGGGAGGAGGTGCTTCTGGGCGGCCATACCTTGTCAAACAGGGCAATGTAGAGGGAGAACCCGAAGCGGTCCTTGAGAGAGATCTTGTCGGCCAGCGCGTTGCAGAGCTCCTTGGCCGTGGTTGCCGAGTCTGTCAGCAGGGTCTTGGTGGTCCCGTCCATGAATGTCACGGGCAGCATGATTGGCTTCTTGGACTTGGTGGCCTGGAAGTGCCCCAGGAGGGTTTGTGGAGTCCCTTCCCTTCAGACCTGCTCGCCCCTCTGGACTTTGGCTCTCTGATTTCTGTGGGGTTGGAGCTGCCCCGGCGCCCCAGGCCTCAGCACCTCACTGGGACACTGCTTGTCCCCGTCACAGGTGTCTAGGGAGCCCTGCTGTGCACCCCACCCCAGTGGACCTTTAGGACCCCTGAGTCAGGGCCTGGGGCTGGGAGTTCAGGCGCTGCCACAGGCCCGGGGTCTCTGCTATCACTTCATATAACCTTCACCATGTGGCAGGTAAAGGCATTGAGACACAGAGGGAATCTCCTTTGCCCAAGTTGTCTTGACCATAAGGCCAGCAAATGGAGTCCCTCATCCTCTGGGGGCTTTTCTGTTCTGATGGGCCTGGGGTTCCAGAACTTGAGGGTAGGTGCTTGAGGAACCACAGAGTCTCAAAGTGGGGAATGTTTCTGGGGCACTCGAGTGCACTGGACACACACACACGCACTCACACACGCATACACACATGCACACACACACTCTTGTGCACATGCACACAAGCACGTGCACACACACGCACGAACCTGCAGCTCCAGCCAGCTAGGCGGCTGTGTCCGTGTCCCATTGACAAAGGTCCTCCTCAGACGCTCCTCACAGTACGGGGCGTAGCCGGGCGGGCCCCCGTGGATGAAGTTCCGCAGGTACTGCAGCCAGAGCACCCGCTGAGGCGGCCCCACTGCAGCCCTGGGCCTCCCCATGTGAGTAGTGAGGGCAGCCACCAGGCCCTCCCCAGCACTTGGAGGCCACTCCTCCAGGCCAGGCTGCTTTCCGTGGCTTCCCTACTCTCTCAGATCCACCGCCTATTTCCAGTCACATCTGTGGCCTCCCCCACCTCCCCCAGCTCAGCCTAGCGGCTCCTCCCCACACCCCTTCACAGCACCAGCCAGTCGGGTTGGTCCTGCCGTGACCTGCTCCACTCTGACCCCAGCACCCAGGGCCTGCCCCAAGGCGAGGGTGCAGAGGGCCTGGGACACGCTCCTGTCAGACTCAGCCCCTCCTAAGTAGAATGGGGCTGAGGGGAGTGTGGGGCAAAGCGGTGGCTGCCTGAGGGGAGGAGATGCCAGGAAGATGGGGCTCAGTGGGGGGTGGCCAGGTAGGCCTTGTGACCAGGCCCTTTGGAGTCCCTGACTATTGCTCTCCCCGCAGTGCTGGGACAGGGCCCAGCTCCCCTTCCCGCTCCAGGAGGCCAGGCACCTTCCTACCTTGACAAACTTCTCGGAGGGGGCAAAACAGCCCACGCAGAGAGACACGAGAATCCAGCCCCGGGCATAGCTGCTCTTGGAGGGGTTGTGGGTCAGCTGCTTGCTGATCTGGCAGTAGATCTCATCCCTGGGCAGGCAGCAGGGCAAGGGAGGGGGAATCACCCAGAGGAACAGCCCCAGTCCCCACCTCCTCCCAGCAGCCGGTGGTACACGACACAGCTGTCCTCTCTAACTTGCCAAGACCACCCAGGAGGAGGCAGAGTGAGGCTGGGTGGCAGGGCTGAGCCAAGGGCTGGGGTCTGGCTTTGGAGACAGGATCATCAGGCATAAAGCACCTCCCCAACCCCAATCCAGTTCCCACAGCCAGGGCCCCACCCTCCAGGGTGGTGCGTATCCTGCTCTGGGCTCAGCAGCCACAGCCACAGGTGACCATGCTAATGAGAAGCACAGTCCCCACCTCTGCCTCCTTCCTAACCAGCTGGTGACTGAGGCAGATGAGTTCACCTCTCTGATCCCAGCCCATAGTCACGGCAGCAGGTGCAACTTCTACCCATGGCAACGGACAAAGCAGAAACAGGAAAAGCGTCCTGGGGTGTCACTGGGGGATGGAATGAGTAGGGACTTTGTCTCTGGTATGTTTCTGTAATGTTAGAATATTTAAGGGGCCATGTATGACTTTTGCAATGGGATGAAAACAATTAAGGTAATTTTTTGGTGTTCATTTTAAAGGAATCCTTACAAGATTGCTGTGAAAACGAATGAGCCAAGGCTTATGATGCACCTAGCACAGTGCCAGACACAGTGAACCCCTCACAAATGCCAGCTGCAATTATTGCTGTCCTTGTTCTTGGGAATGGTTCTTCTCCTCTGCAACCTGGGTGCTCTAAGACTGCAGCCTGCCTGTTCAAGGGCAGAACCCCTGACGATGCAGTGACCGCCAGGGGGCACCCACTGCTGCTCTTCTCTCCCAAAGGACAGGGCTGGGATTACCTAATTCAGTGTCTCAACAGTTTTGAGAGTTTATAATTTCAAAGTAAATTCTGAAGTTACTCATTTTTTTATGATAAATGAGAACATTTATAACACACACAACCTGCTCACTGTCTAGATCCCAACTATCTCATAAAACAAAGGTAATTTTAAATTTCCAAATAGTAGGAAGGGCAAAGTCTCAGAGCAGTCCTTTAAAGAAAACAAGTTTTGCTTTAGAAACATCCCTCCTGTTCCCACCTTGCCACAGACTAGTGAAACATTATCACCTGCAGCTAGGAGTCTCCCTTCACTTTACAGATGGGGAGACAGAGCCTGAGAATAGGGAGGGATTCACCGTGTGAGGCCCCTCAAGGAGTTGACACCCCAGCCTTTGGACTCTTGGTTCAGAGCTCCTGGCACTGTGTTTTCTAGAAGTGTCAGCTTTAGGTATGATGGTGAGATAATTTGGAGGCAAATTCTTGCCCCTGAGACACACCTGCAGCAGCTGCTTTTCCTCCTGTTGGCGGGTGGCCCTGGGCAGTGTGGCCACCCTGGTGAGGTAGTGACTAGGCTTGGGGAGATAAAAACGGGGGTCTGATAGGAGGCAGGAGGCCTAGTGACCCCTGGGCAAGTCTCTTCCCTACTCTGGACCTCAGTTTCCCATCAGGAAAGTGGGGCTTGGTCCCTGCCCCGTCCTGCTGTCCTCCCAACCAGTACACACACATTCATGGCATCAGCTCTCCCGACAGACCTGTCCTGTGCAGAGACTGTTCTCAGAAAAGTCCTAGCCCTCCTCTCATCAGCTGACTTGATTTTTTTGGTGGCTCCTGGTAACTCCTGGGTCTTCCTTTCAACTCCCCAAAACCCCAGGGACCTGGGTAAAGGCCTCTCCTGGCCCTGTGGGGAAGGAGGTACTTGCAGGATGCCCAGGCATGTGGCCCACAGTAACCCTGACCATGGGCCTGGGGTGGGTGACTCGAGGTGAGCTGGCGGCAGGGGAGTTAAAGCAGGAAATGCATGTTGGATGATGATGATCAAAGCTACCATCTACAGGGCGCTTACTATGCTCCAGGTCTGGTGCTACACACTTTCCATAGCTTTATCTTCCCACAAGCCTGTGTATGAGGTAGCTGCTGCAGGCACACCTCATTTTACTGTACTTCACTCTATTACACTTTGGAGACATTGCATTTTTTACAAATTGGTTTACAAGGACCCTGCATGGAACAAGTCTACCAACATCATTTCTCCAACAGCACGTGCTCACTTCACGTTTCTGTCACATTTTGGCAATTCTAGAAATATCTCAAATTTATTATTATATTTGCTGTGGTGATCTGTGATCAGTAATCTTTAATGTTACTAATGTGGTTGTTTTGTGCACCGTGAATCGTGCCCATAGAAGATGGCAAACCTAATTGATAAATGTTAGATGTGTTCTGACTGCTCTACCCACCAGCCATTCCCCCATCTCTCTCCCTCTCCTCAGGCCTCCTGATTCCCTGAGACACATTCATATTGAAATTAGGCCAATTAACAACCCCACGATGACCTGTAAGTGTTCAAGTGAAAGGAAGCTCACACATTTTTCACTTTTAATCAAAAGCTAGAAATGATTAGAGAGTAAAGCATGTTGAAAGCCGAGATAGACCAAAAGCTGGGCCTCTTGTGCCACGTAGTTAACCAACTTGTGAATGCAAAGGAATAGTTCCTAAAGGACATCAGAAATGCTACTCCAGTGAATACACAAATGATAGGAAAGTGAAACAGCCTTATTTGCTGATATGGAGAAAATTTTAGGGGTCTGAATAAATCAAACCAGCCACAACATTCCCTTAAGCCAAAGCCTAGTCTAGAGGAAGGCTCTCTCTTCAATTCTCTGAAGGCTGAGAGAGGTGAGGAAGTTGCAGAAGCTAAGTTGGAAGCTCACAGAGATCGCCTCATGAGGTTTAAAGCAAGAAACTGTCTCCAAAATGTAGAAGTGCAGGGTGAAGCAACAAGTGCTGATGGAGAAGCTGCAACAAGTTTTCCAGAAGGTCTAGCTAAAATCACTAATGAAGGTGATTACACTCAACAACAGATCTTCCATGGAGATGAACCAGCCTTCTATCGGAAAAAGATGTCATTTAGGACTTTCATAGCTAGAGAGAAATCAATGGCTGGCTTCAAGTCTTCAAAAGACAAGCTGAATCTCCTGTCAGGAGCTAATGCACTGCTGACTTTCCATTGAAGCCAATGCTCAGTGACCATTCCAAAAATCCTAGGGCCCTTAAAAATGATGTACAAGGAGGCCGGGCGCGGTGGCTCAAGCCTGTAATCCCAGCACTTTGGGAGGCCGAGACGGGCGGATCACGAGGTCAGGAGATCGAGACCATCCTGGCTGACACGGTGAAACCCCGTCTCTACTAAAAAATACAAAAACTTAGCCAGGCGAGGTGGCGGGCGCCTGTAGTCCCAGCTACTCGGGAGGCTGAGGCAGGAGAATGGCGTAAACCCGGAAGGCGGAGCTTGCAGTGAGCTGAGATCCGGCCACTGCACTCCAGCCTGGGCAACAGAGCGAGACTCCGTCTCAAAAAAAAAAAAAAAAAAAAATGATGTACAAGGGGCTGGGCACAGGGGCTCACGCCTGAAATCCCAGCACTTTGGGAGGCTGAGGCGGGTGGATCACAGGGTCAGGAGTTCCAGACCAGCCTGGCCAACATGGTGAAACCTCGTCTCTACTAAAAATACAAAAATTATCCAGATGTGGTGGCAAGTGCCTGTAGTCCCAGCTACTTGGGAGGCTGAGGCAGGAGAATTGCTTGAACCCAGGACGTGGAGGCTGCAGTGAGCCTAGATCATGCCACTGCACTCCAGCCTGGGCAACAGAGTGAGACTGTCTCAAAACAAAACAAAACAAAAACAAAAACAAACAAACAAACAAACAAAAAGAATGATGTACAAGGAGATGAATGTTATTTTCATGCCTGCTAATGCAACATCCATTCTGCAACCTATGGATCAAGGAGTAATTTTGGCTTTCAAGTCTTATTTAAGAAATACATTTGATAAGACTATTGCTGCCATAGATAGTGATTCCTCTGGTGGATCTGGGCAAAATCAGTGAAAAAGCTTCTGGAAAGTATTCACAATTCTCGATGCCATTCAGAACATTCATGATGCATGGAAGGAGGTCAAATTATTAACATTAATAGGAGTTTAGAAGAAGTGGATTCCAACCTTCATGAATGACTGAGGAGCTCAAGACTTCAAGAGGAAGTAACTGCAGATGTGGTGGAAACAAATAGCAAGAAAACTAGAATGAGAAGTGGGGCCTGAGGATGGGACTGAGTTGCTGCCATGTCATGATCAAATTTCAGTGGATGAGGAGTTGCCTCTTATGGATGAGCAAAGCAAGTGGTTTCTTGAGATGGAATCTACTGGTGAAGATGCTGTGAACATTGTTGAAATGATAACAAGGGATTTAGAATATTGCATCAACTTGATAAAGCAGCAACAGGGTTTGAGAGGACTGACTCCAATTTTGAAAGAAGTTCTACTGTGGGTAAAATGCTGTCAAACAACATTGCATGCTACAGAGAAATTTTGTGAGAAAGAACAGTCCATTCATGCAGCAAATCTCACTGTTGTCTTATCTTAATAAATTGCCACAGCCACCCTAACCTTCAGCAACCACCACTCTGATCAGTCAGCAGCCATCAACATCAACGCAAGACCCTCCAGCAAATAGATGCAACTTTCAGATGACCGTTAGCATTTTCAGCATTATTTTCTAATCAAGGTGTCTACATTTTTTAGACATAATGCTATTTCATACTTCATAGACTATAGTACAGTATAAATATGACCTTTAAATGCACTGGGAAGCCAAAATATTTGTGCTGCTCTCTTTATTGTGATACTTATTTCTGTGGCCTTCAACTGAACCTGCAGTATCTCCAAGGGATGCCTGTTTTATGATTCCCCCTTTACAGACAAGGAATCAGAGGCTTAGAGAGATGAAATAACTCCACCAAGGTCCTAACTCCACCAATTAGCTCCCAGCAAAGCCAAACTCAGGCCTGCTTGCTTTATCTCTTGCTAAGTTGACAGAGGCACCACTCAGCCATCAAAAGACTTTCAGGCCCCGGTGCCCCCGCCTCCCGGCACTGACCGGAGAGCTGGCCGCAGGATGCCATTGCCGATGATGAAGTGCAGCTTCTCCAGGTTGGAGGTGGGCCGGTCCTCCAGCATGCTGTTGCCCTGGACCGTGGACTCCCCGTCATGCAGCCTCTTGGTCACCTGGGCCAGAGGGAGAGGACAGGGAAGGTGAAGTCAGGGGCATTCCCCTGCCAGCCAGGGCACCAGCACCCGCAGCTGCCTGCTCCCCAGAAAGCAGAATCTAGGGAGTGAGCAGAAGAACTGGGCTCCCCAGCACCGCCATTACCCCTGCCACGTGCACAGCAGATGCTGGGCCAATAACTGGCCCACATAGCTGGGGCACACTGGCCCGGCGCCACCCACTTCTGGGGACAGAGCTCCTCTGCCGTCTCCTCGATACCCTGCACCCCACCCCCCACCCCAGGGAGGTCCTCTCAGCCAGGACAGGGACCTGCTTCTGACTCCAAGCGGGACCCCTATCTCTCTGGGGTGGCCCCCCCATAACTGTGGGTTCTGGAGTATACCCCAGGTTCCAACCACCAGTCACCATCACCCTGTCACCAACACCCTTAGCCCCAAAGTGACCAGGCTCACACTGGCTCTTATGAGATGTTTCTCCTCTCTCATCCCACATAGCCCACAGCACAAGCCCCGAGCTCTGCCCAGAGGAGGTAGGGTGAGTGAGAGGTGAGCGGCAGGAGTGGGTGGTACAGACAGGGAGCACCATGGAAGGCCCTCGTGTCTACCGAACACCCTCGGCTGCCATTTCCACCTTCTTCCCAGGACCCCACGGAGTGGGCGTTTCCTTCCTTGGGTCCCTTGAATATTAAGCGGCAGAGAAAGTATTCAAATCTGAGGCCACACACGTGCAAGGTTGGATTTGTGCCTCAGGTGGGGACAGGACAAGGGCAGAGGTAAAGTGGGAGCCCCTGACCCTGCAGGGGAGGAGCTGGGGAGGCTTCCTGGAGGAGGTGATCCCAGGCAGAGAAAGGAGGAGTTTCAGGCAGAGGGACTGGCATGTGCAAATGTGGGGATGGGGGCCTGGCCCCCAAGGCTGTGAATGCCTTGGTTTGTGTCTGCCTCTCCAATGCATCCTCCCCTGCCACACACACACCAGCCTGGACAACCCCAGAGCACAAGGGCTGGGAGAGTGCCCAGAAAAGGCAAGGTGACTGAAGAATGAATTCAAATAAATTAATCCCGTTCATGCTCCGTGAGCACTCTTGTTCCACAGAAAGCTCCCACACCTCAAAGGTCCTTGGACCAAGTGCCTTGGGTCTGCACCCTGGCTGGAAGTGTGTTCCCTCTCACCTGTGCTGCTACCAGCCTCCCCTGCTCAGTGCCCTCTGCCAGGAAGCCCTTCCCCACCCCAGCCTAAGATCTCACCCTCTTCAGACAGTCCTGTCTGCCTGATTGCCCACCAACCCACCCATGCTGTCCCGTCCCTGGCCAGCCAAGACCCCTGAGGACAGACAGTGTCCACTCCTGCTCCTGCTCCCATGGGCCCCCAGCTTAGCTGTGCTCCAGCCTACCCCACTTAAGGCAGCCACCTGTGGGCTGCCAGACCCCCAGTGTCTGCCCTCACCTCCTCTGTGAGCTTGGACTTCTTTTTCAGAGTCAAATGCACCAGCTTGTGTCTCACACTGCTCCTCTTCTGGCCCTCAGGGAGCTGGGCCTGCAGGACCAGCAGGGATCAGGGTCAAGTGGCTGAGCAGAAAGCAATGACGAGACCCCCAACAGCAAGACTTTGTGGGGAACCATCTCGCTTCCACGTGAGGCTTACAGGGTGCCCCCCACACTGGCACCCTCTACCTGCTCACCCTACCCTTGCACCCCCACCAGCCAACTGGCAGTCAGGAAAACAGACTCAGAAAAACACAGTATGGGAGCTGGCTCCAACTGCAAAGCCCCCGTCTGCTCTGCTGTGAGGCCCCTCAGTTATGGTCAGCACTTCACAGTTTATAAAAGTTTCACATATTTCTTCCCACAAGTAGACAAAGGAGGGTGGCAGGCAGGGGTTGGTGAGGCAGAGATGAATTATAGGATCCTTTTTCTGTGGAGGAGCCCAAGGCTGGCGATGCCAGTAACCCTCCCTGTAGGCCTGGGAGGGACATCAGCCAGAGGGCACCTTGGCCTCACCTCACCCTCGCCCTGCAGGGCCTGCAGCTCCCTCTTGTACGTCTTCTTGCCCAGGGTCTCGTAAATCTTGGTCATCACAGGGATCTTCTCGCTGCCATCACTCATGGCTGTGTGGTACTTGGGCTCCGGGAGGTCCCCCATGAAGCGGAGGATGGTGATCCAGACCGCCAGGGCTGCCTGGGGCAGAGCGTGCATGTCAGAGGCCAGAGCAGAGGACATTGCAAAAGCTGTCAGAATGACCTGGTGGTTTGGGGAGAGGGCTGGAGACACCCCCTCCTGCATGGTGAACCCTTAGGCTGGGTGCCACAGTGAAGACTATAGTCAGACCTGGTCCCTGGCCCCCAGGGACCCACCACCCTCATCACCTATGGCCACCAGCAGCAGCAGAGTCCACAGCACCAGCCCTGGCCCCACCCAGCAGTGACCTAGTGGCAGGCAGGCCTCACCAGCTGGTCACCCTCGTCGTCATGGTAGAGCAGTGGCTGTTTGAGTGGCCGCCGGGTGTAGGAGTGCGTGGTTGTCCCCTGGAAGTAGGTGGCAGCAAACTTGGCAAATTTATACTCAGAGAGGTCCTCCTCATCCTCATCAGGCAGGGGCAGGGCTGCATCCAGGTCCTCCTCCACCATCTCCCTCCGCCCTCGCTCCAGGTCCTGAAGGAGACAAGAGGTATGTCCTGGAGTCCCAGCTACTCGGGAAGCTCAGGCAGGAGGATCACCTGAGCCCAGAAGTTCAAGTCTGCAGTGAGCTATGATCACACCACTGCACTCCAGCCTGAGCAACAGGGTGAGACCCCATCTCAAAAAAAAAAAAAAAAAAAAAACCTGAGAATGGCCTTGGAGAGGGACAGGACCCAGTTCATCCCGGCTACCCACTGCTCAGAGGGGCTGGGCGGGCTTTAAGGCCAAGGGCACAGGAGGAGGGAGGATCAGCCCAAGTCGTGTGGGGGCCTCTGGAGCCCCTGTCCCCAGCCTGGTACCTCAAAGCCACTAGGTGCCTGGCCCTCCTGGCCTGGCAGGCCACCTGAAGTCCCCAGGAAGCCAAACATCTTGTCCACCATGTCTGAGTGATTGACGGGCTCGTGGCGGGCCCTTTCCATCTGCTCTAGGAGCTCCTTCTTCCGCCGAGCAGCCTCCTTCTCCTTCAGTTCCCGCTCGGCGTCCTCACGAGCCAGCTGGGCCAGGCGCTCCTGGGCAATTGGGGTGACACAGAAGACACAGGGTCAGCCCCGGTGCCACAGCCTCAGGGAACAAGCTCTCCCTGGGAAGCCCCTGCAGCAGCCAGGGCCTCGGTCCCCACCTCCTGACCGCCGGGGAGAATGGAGCCTCCGACTTCCCCACCTCTGGGCCACTCAGAGGCCTCTCAACAGGCCAAACAGCAATCTGCTCATCCTTCAGGGCTCTCAGGGAGCCACCTCCTCCAGCAGCCTGCTCCATGGGGACCACACCAACCCAGACACCCCACGGCCATTGGCTTGAGGCTCTAGACCAGGGCCGCCCAATAGAAATACAATGTGAGCCACCCATGCGGTAGCCATGTTTTAAAAAGCAAAAAGGAATAGGTGGGATTAGTCGTAGTAATATATTTTATTTAACTCAATATTTCCCAAATATTATCTTAGCATATAATCCATATTACAAAAATAATACTGAGATATTTTATATTCATTTTTTCCCCACCAAGTCTTCAAAATCTAGTGTGTACTTCACAATTACAGCACTGTGTCATTCGGATGGACCACACTGCAAGTGTTCGGTTGCCACTGTGGCTGATGGCTCTCTACTGGGCAGCAGGGCACCCTCGTGCCGTCAGCTGGCTTGGGCTTTTATCAGGGTGTTCTCTCCCAGCTAGAAAGGGGCTGCTGAGGGCCTGGGTCTCTTCCTCTGGAGCCACCACAGCCCTCGGTCCTTTTGCATGGCACAGGACCAGGTGCCCAGTGAGAGCTCAGGCAACGCTGGCCGAGTGGGTCTAGTGCAGCCACTCTGAAGGGTGGAAGGAAGGCTGCGGTGCCGGGTGACATGAGCAGCCAGACGAGGCGCCTGGAGGCTCTCGGCTCACCTGATGCTTGCGCTCCGCCTCCTCCTTGGCCTTCTTGGCACTCATCTCCTTCCGGAGCTTCTCTTCCTCTGCCAGCCGCATTTTCTCAGCCTCGAGGCGCCGCAGGTACTGAGGGAAGGGGGCATCCAGGGGGCATGGAAATGTGTGTAGCTGTTGTTGCAGGGATTCCTGCCAGCTCCACCCACCCGACTCTGAGTTCTAGAACTGGGCATGACTTTGCCAAATAATTTGGCAGATAGGACAAGTGAGGTAACCAAGAAATTCTCTAGGTTACCCAGCGGGTTGGAGGCACCACTGATCCTAAAGCCCGGCCAGATCTGCCCCGGTCTCTCAGAGATTCCCAAGAGTGACTGAGGTCCCAGCCCTGCCCTTGGCCAGGAGGATGGAAATGAGGGTATGGTCCCAGGTTTGTGCACTCCTCAGAGCAGGCATAACCACAGGTCCACCCCATAGGTCCCGCTTCCTGGCCAACACCTGAGGGTGATACGTGGACACTCCCCACCCAGGGGTCAGAGGTCTGCTGATTGGCTGCTACGGACTTGCTCCCTCACCTCAGCCCTGAGGCGTTGGTGCAGCCTGCGGGCGATCATGCCCCGGGCATAGGCCTGCACGGTAAGCACAGCCCAGAGGCGGTGGCGGAAGGCCTTGCGCACCAGATAAGCGCGGCAGCGGGCCTGGAACTGGATGATGCGCTGGCGGGCCAGGCGGTACTGCTGGTGCAGCTTCCGGGAGCGGTGTAGAGCCTGCAGCCGCAGGAAGCCCAGACGCATCTGCAAGGACAGCCACCCCGTGCTCAGAGCCTGCTGTCCCATTCTAGACTGACCCTGCCTGCAGAAGCTTCCACGGCACCGGCCTCCACTCTCAGACAGGCACCCCCAGAAGGCATGGCCCCGTCTCCTCTCAGATTAGGCACCCCCCCCATCGTTAGAAAGTTCTGTTTCCTCTCAGACAACATATTTTTAGGTGACCTTGACTCTCCCTGAGTTGGGCCCCCCTGAGAGAATACTAGATCAGGAGCTGCAACCAACCAGTCTGCTTCCCATCCAGCCCCGACAAGCCCTAAGCCCAGCTGCTGCACAGAGGTCCATGTGACCCAGCCACTCCCAGCCCCATCTGAGATCTCTCATAATCCCAGAGTGCTCCCAACACCCAAAAACACTCCAGAAGGAGAACAATACACATTGCTGGCCAGCTGGAAGAAGCCACAAGAGCCAGATTCAGACTTTGGGCTGGAGGAATGGTAGTGGCTGGCCAGGGCAGTGGCAGGAGGCCAATGAGGTCAGGTTGTGCTGCCTGGGTGCAGGCCAGTCCCGCTGCCATGGCAGCAAGGCTGGGTTCAAAGGCCTGTTGGGGCAAGAGAAGCCCATGGGGAGGCTCACCAGCCCGTAGTTCTTCCTGCAGTTGTGACCCCGCCAGTGCCTCTGGATCAGCGTGGCAGCGTTCTTCAGCTTCAGGAAGTTAGACCTGAAACAGTGGGAGTGGCGCGGGTAAGCAGTGTCCAGAGGCAGCCAGGGCACAGGTGGGTTTGGGATCACGAGGGCATGCTGAGTCCTGGCTCTACGACTTCCTAGCTATGTGACCTTGGGCAAGGCACATAACCTCTGTGCCTCAGCTTCCTCATCCATACAATGCGTAGAATAATGCTTGCCCTGCCTGCCCCACAGGCCTGTCACATAAGCCTATGAAGGTAGACATTCAAAAGGTATTTGTTGAATGAATAAATGTATGAAAAAATAAGTAACTAAAATAATATAAAGATTAAAAGCTTTGAACAGTCTAACTTCCTCATTTTATACATGAGGCAACTGAAACTTGATAGGTTGGGACCAGAGCCTGTGTCTTCTGACTGACCCTAAGTGAGCCCATTGCTGTTCCCCCTGCACACAGCAGGCTGCTTCTGCAGGAAAACAGTCACCTTTGGCCTGATAGAGGACAGAGACCACGCACAGACAGCAGGGGTCTGCTGAATGTAGAAATAAATAAAGGAAGAGTGAAGGATGGGTATGTCAGTGTGCATGTGGGCCAAAAAGTCAATGCTTGGAGACACACATAAGCAAATGAGCAACTGTGGGAATGGGTGGGTGGGTGGATGGATGAATGGATGAGTGAATGGGTGGGTGGGTGGGGGGATGGATGGATGGATGGGGGAATAGGCGGGCAGATGGATGGATAGATGGATGGATAGATGGGTGAATAGGTGGGCAGATGGATGGATGGATGGATGGATGAATAGGTGGGCGGATGGATGGATGAACGGATGGATGGATGGATAGGTAGGTAGGTGGGTGGGTGAATGGATGGATGGATGGGTAGGTGAAGGGAGAGAGTGACCATATGAACTGCAAAGGGGTGTGTTGCAGGATTTTCGCAGAGCTTTAAGCACATTTTGGAGTCAGTCCTGCACATTTGTGAATTGTCACAGGTGTACAGATATCCTTTACATAGAATATGAGACACATTTTGTATTCATAATTTATAAAATCTCAAATTTCCTCTGTGCAAAATTTCATCAGCATCTGAAATGAACAGTGGGTCCACATGTGAGTCTCATGTATCTACATGTGAATGTGCGTACGTAGGTGAATGTATTGGATTATTTGGCTTACATGGCACAATGGGTCCATGTAAATCATGTATCTATATTCCTCTGTGTTTACATGATCATGTGTGCATGCTGTGCATGTGTGCACTTGTTTCATAGGTGAACATGTTTTTTTCCTAGTGTTCATGCGGGCAGAGCAGAGGAGAGCCAAACACCACACGTACACCTGTATGTGGGCTGAGGAGGGGAGGAGCTGGTGGGAACACGCACCTGTCTTTGAACCCCCGGATGACCTTCTGGAGGAGGATGACTCTGTCAGTGATGGCTTTGTCCCGCTCCACTTCCAGCAGCATGTCATGGTGGTCCTAGGAGGCAGAGCTCCTGAGCAGCACCCCACAAGGTCTCTAGAGCCACCTGCTCAGTCCCAGCTGGGGCCTCTCTTCCTTCACTGGGAGCCCAGGTCTAGAACTCAGTTGGGTCCCATGAGCTCCCAGCTGGCTCTGGCTCCTGGGGCAGCCTCCCACAGCCACCAGGACAGACAGGGGTTGTGGCTGTTTCCCAGAGGCCCAGGCAGGACAAATGGAGCAGAAGGTGCCTAGTCTCTCTGGATGGGGTCGGAAGGCCCAGTACGCACACACACCGGCTTCTTCCCTATCATCAATCTGCCCAAGCCCCCTGCTTCTAGACACCCCTGTCACATCAGTCCCTCACCTGGGCTGGGCTGTCGCCATTCCTCTCCTGAATCTTGGCAGCAGCCTCCTAACCAAAGGTCTCACGGCCTCCCTGGCTCCCTCTCCGGCCCTCCACAAGCAGCCAGAGAGACCCTCCTAAACACAACCTGGATGGTGACCCTACAGTGACACCTCATGGTTCCCCAGGTCGAGCCTGGGTTCCTCACCCTGGCACTCAAGGCCACCCATGATCCAGGGTGTCTGCCAACTTTTCCAGCCCTCTCTCCTCCTCACCCAAGACCCCAACCCTCACTCTAGTTGGACAAAACTTCATTGGTTCACTTAATACATAAGAATTGAACGCCTCCATGTGCCGGCACTGTGCTAGGTGCTGGGGAGGGGAGGGGCTGCCACAATGAACCAGGGAGACATGGCCCCTGCCCTTGGGGAGGGTAGAGTTTCATGAGGGAGCCACATCCATCAGATAATCACAGACACACAGGGCCCTGACAGAGGAGATGCTCAGCTAAGGCATTCTGAATGAATGAATGAATGGATGAATGAGCATGTCTAGCCTCTCAAAACCATGGCCATATTGGAAGAACCTAGCAGTGTAAGTCAGGGGCTGATGGCGCTCCTCCGAGTTCCCTGGCATTAGATGCCATCGTGATTCCTGCCTTCCCCACTTTGTCCACACAGGGGCTTGGCATCAGACCCCCCCAGACTGGAAGCCCTGCTGCCTGCTTCCTAGCTGCCTGGCTTCGGGCAACTGACTTCTCTCTGAGCCTGTGAAACGGGTATATTTTCTTCTCCACAGGACTGTTTCAAGGATTAAATTAGCTCATGGATGAAAAGCCCCCACCCAGCACCTGGCACATGGAATATGCTTTCTGGCTGACCACTGTGGGAGGCACAGGCAGGGAACATTCATCACATCTTGCTAATGAGGAAATGCAGGTGCAAGGAGAGAAAGGGCCTAGCCTGAAGCCCCTTGGCTGGAGAGGATTTAAAAGAGGCCACAGGCTCCCTCCAGTTCAGAGCTGGTTCCTGTCCCTCCTGCAGCTGTCCTGGAGTGTGCAGGCCCCACCCCCCACACCAGAGGAAGGAGCCCTGTCATCCGGGACAGCCAGAAATCTAGCACAGCGGAAATGCAAATGGGGAAGCCCAGCGCTGGGAGCTCGCACTGTCCCTGCTGTGGCTGCCCTGCCACTGCCAGCTCCCAGCCATTTCTCCAAGGCTGTGACTCCGTGACTCCCACAGGCCCTGCTTCCTGCTTCCCTCCCCAGCTGCCCAGGCAGCAATGGGAGCTGAGCTCCCTACAGAGTGATGGACAGGTGGAATGCTGCGGACCCCAGCATGGGATGGACCCTGCCAGGCAGGAAACCACAGGAAGGAACCTAAAGATACACTCAAGAGACCCCACACAGGGACACCCCAATTTACAGATGGGAAAATGAGGCTCAGAAAAGGCCCCAAGGCAAGCAGCACCCCCGCCTCCCTGCTGTGGGCCTGACAGCCAGCCTGCCCCTGGCATGTGCTTTGTAACCTGTGGTCAGTGCGCTGACCCTGCTCCCAGGTGGTAGATGATCTCAAACACCACTTACCCTTCCCCACCGGAGAGACCAGATCCCACCTGCTCCTCCAGCCACACCATAGCCCGGCAGGAAGGATCTCAAAGCCCCAGCACTGCCTCCCTCTCCCGAGCACCCCAGCCCACATGATGGGAATTCACAGTGCCCCAGGGCAGCCCAGGGAAGCTGTGCTCACCTTCAGAAAGATCTTGGTTTTGCCTATCTGCCAGTCATCGTGGGTGCCCAGCACAGTCTCAGCCATGCGCTGGCACGTCCCGCGAAGGTCACCCTGGAGTGGGGATGGGGGACACAACGGAATGGGCAGTGTCTCCAGTGGGAAGGCCCCCGGAGTGTCCCTGAGGCTGGGAGGCAAGGCTCTTCTCCAGCTCTGCCCCTGACTCAAAGTGTGACCTCAGCTGGGTCCTGCCTTCTCTGAGCCCGTTTTCTCCTTAGCTCAGCTGGATGGTATGATTGCAAAACCCTTTCTCACAACTGACATCCAGGGCCCGCGTGGCAGCCCTGGTCTTGTTCCTTACACCACCATGTGTGAAGTCCTCACTAGGTGAACATGGCAACTGAAGCCTACTGATGCATTCCAAGACCGGACCCCCAATTTTCCATGCTGTACCTGAGAGGATGAGCAGATGTCAAGTCCCGCTCACAGTCCTGATAAGAAAATTGGGATCCTTGCCCAGCCAAAGCTGGGACCCTCCTCTCCTGCCCTCTGTGCACTCAGCCCTGTACCTGCTTGTAGGCTGGCTTCACACCCGGCAGCAGCACGCGGTACCGCTCCACGAACTCCACGAAGCTGTAGCGGATGGGGTAGCCAGCTCGGCGGATTCGGATGGTCTCCATCATCCCTGAGTACCGCAGCTGGCGCACACACAGGTGCCGGTCAAACAGCTGCCGGGCAGACAGACAAGGGCATCAGGGCCAAGGCTCCTGCTGGGAGGCAGCCCTGCTATGCACTTGACCAACCCAGACAAAGGCTCAGAAAGGCCAAGTCCACATGGCACGGGAGGAGCAAAGCTGGGACAGGCACCTGGATCTGCAGCTCAAATCCACAAAATAGCATAAAGTGAGGCCTGTTGTGGCGGAGTTGTGTGCTTTGGAAGCACACAGAAGACATAGATTAATCCCTCTTGGGACACCCAACAGGCAAGCTTCATGGAGGAGGCGTCTTTATCCCCCTAACGCTGACAGGAGGGAGAGTATTCCAAGGCTGGAGGGGGTAAGCCTGTGCAAAGGTGTGGAAGCCTGAAAGCGCAGGACTTTGTTGGGAATCTTGGGGGAGCTAGAGAGGCTGGTCCAGGCCAAGTTATGGCTGTGCAGGTGAGGGGTGCTCTGCACAGCCCCAGGGAGGACCTTTCACACTGCAGCTATCGTACATCTGTGGTTATTCAGACAACGTTCTAGCTGCCTTAAGGAAGCAGCACATTTTTCAAAGGGCCCTGGGGTTTGGTTGGTGGAGGGGCTGGGGAGAAAGAGTACAAGGCAGGTGCTGGGCTGTGAGGCTGTGGGGCTCTGTGAGGGCCTCATCTATGGATGCTGGAAGCCAGGGAAGGTTTAGAGCAGGGAGAGACTGGGCCAGGTCTGCATTTGAGAACAATGTCACTGGGGTCCAGGGGAGGCAGGACAGGAGGCGAGGGAGGCAGGAGACCCTTGAGGAGGCCGTTGCCAAGGCCCAGTACACAAATGCTAAGGACTGGCCTGAGGGAAGGGTCCCACTTCAGAGCCAGGGAGACTGTGCCTGACTGCCCTGGTCTCAGTCCCCTACACCCCCTGCATTACAGGGAGAGCTCACTGGAGCCCTCTGCGAACCTCAGGCCCCTGCAGACCTGAGTCCTAAAGGGGTCAGGCCTCATCCACTTCGGCGAATGTTTTCCAGGCAGGAGGCAGCGGGAGGGGACAGTCTTGCAGCCTGTCAGCTTCCGGAGCCTGTTTCCTCTCTCTCCGGGCCACTTTCCCTGGCCTTCCTTCCCTGCGCAGATCCCGAGGCCCCAGCTTCCCCTGCGCCTCCCTGCAGGCCTCTGGGTAAACAACCCTCCCAGAGCCTGTGCTGGGGAAGGAGAGGGCTCGCAGCGAGGTGGCCCCAGCCTGAGCCCCTTAACCTCCCTGAGCCCCCAGTCCCACATCTCTAACCTGGGACCGCCACAGTCTCTTTCTCACGGGCTGTTTGAGAAGGCTGAAGCTGTGGCCTGTCCATCCAGCCTATGCTGGGCACACAGAAAGGGCCCAACAAATGTTATTCAGAAAAGTCAAGAATGAGAATATCCCAACCAGATGGAGGGATGGGGGAGGCTTCCAGGAGAAGGTGGTGGTTGAGCTGGGCCAAAGGAGAAGGGGACTTTCAAAGAAGCATCCCTAGCAAGAACCACAGCTGCCAATCACTGGGCACTTGCTGGGGCCGGGCATCTGTAAGCATTATTGCATGGAATAGTCTCAGGAGGTAGGGATGGTCAGTCCCATTTCCATGTATGAGGAAACTGAGGCGTAAGAGAAGAAACTGCCTTGTCTGCAGTCGCCCACTTGTAAGTGGTAGAAGCAGGATCTGAACCTGCCGCAAGCCCCCTGCAGAGTCTAGGCTCTTTCCAAGGCACCTGCTGCCTCCAGTAAATAGGAGGCCTTGTTTTGTAAGCTCCCAGGGTGCCCCCAATTCCCTAAAGGGACAAAGTCTCACATCCTTCACTCCCACCCTACCTTATTCTTGACAGAGCTCCTCCACATCACCCTAGCTGCCACCCGCCAACCCCAGGCCAGGGCTGCTCACCATGGGCTTCTTGAACTCATTGGGCTTGATGCATCGCACAAAGAAGGGCTGGCAGGCACCCAGCGTGCGCATCAGCAGCTCCAGCGACCGCTTGAACTGGCTGCTGAGTGTGGGCGAGCGCTTCCTGGTCTCGGCGCCCTGGGGGGACGGACAGCAGAGATGGGAGGGGCTGTGCCTGCCCCTATCCAGTGTCCCAGGAGCCGCCCAGTAGGAAGCGTGAGGGGAGGTCAGTGGGTCAGGGTTTGAGGGACAGGGCGGTATTCGAAGTTTTCCTGCAAACTGCCTCTCCTCACCGTCTGAGCTGGAGCCTGGACCCCAGATACCCCTCCAGGAAGCCTCCCAGGACTTCCAAAGGTACCAGCTCTGGGCCAGGGGGAAGTGAACCCTACAGGAAGATCTCCGCACTGGGAGTCGGGAGCCTGCCCCTGCCCCTGCCCCTGCCCCTGGTGCGCTGGATGACTCTGAGCAAGGGGCAGCCCCTCTCTGAGTCTCATCCTCCCTTCCCTGCATAAAAGAGTAATCGGACTTGGTCACCTCAGGACCCTGAGGTCGTCTCTAGAGACAGGGGTTAGACAAACCTAGATTCAAGCCCTGGCCCACCACTTCCTAGCTGTGTGGCCTTAGGCAGGTCACTAAATGTTGCAGAACCTCAGTCTCCTAAGTGGAGGTGATGCCATCTATCCATCTGACCAGGCTGTGATGAAGGTCAGAGGTCAGGGCATATTTCAGTAAACAGCAACCTGGAAAGGTGGTGCCGCCTTCTGGGAACCTGTGGGCAAGTGCGAGGAGGAGGGGCGGGAGCTGCTGGTGACCTCTCCCCTCCCAGGCTTAGCTGGCAGCAGCAGGCTAGGGGCGGGGCAGGCCTGGCTAATCCTCCTAAGAAGGCACACAAGCAACTTCCCCCTCATCCCAGCACTGTGGCACCGACGCGGCCAGGGGTTCTGTGCTCCACCAGCCACTACCTGGGTGATCCTGGCAGCCAGCGAGCACCATGCACCTCCCTGCCCTACTGGGGTCCCCTCTGAGAATACTGTGGAATGAGGTAAAGCCCTGAGCCACAAACAAACAGGAAGCCAAACAGCAGGACTGATGGGAACTGGACACAGAGCTCAGGTTCTCTTCCAAAGCATCTTGATGAGTGTCTTCCTGGCAATTTTCATTTGGTTGAGAATTTCGTATTTTATTTTATTAAACGTCATTTGGTTAATATTATAAGATTTAATATCTTTAGAGTCACTATTTCATCTGATATCCTGTATCATCAAAAATCAGGGGTGCAGATGTAGATATGTAAGGTATTTGGGGGGACAAAGGTGTTATGCTCATACTCAATTTAGGAAATATGCCACCAGACCGTGATGAGGCCTTCTGAGAAAGAGCCAGTGCCTGCAATTCTGAAATCTGCAATGCTTTCCAATTGCGTTGTATTTGGAATATATTCTAGGATTTTGCCCAGGGAAGCTGCGGAGTATTTGCAATGTGGTAGGGTGGTGGTCAGATCTGTGGCTCCCGGGATTGTCCTCAACTTGATCCAGCAGCAGCACTGGGTGACCCCAGTCACTGGAGGGGAGCTATTCAAGTTGGGCTGTACCCAGCCTGCGTTAGGGCCCCTGACATGAGTACACACATACACATGCACACACACAACACACACACCCCTCAGCATGCACACACACACACACAAGGAGCTCACGCGTACCACCACGTGCACACACACGCACACGCATGCCCTTCTTTGGTCTTGGTCATCACAATAAAACTACTGCTTTCTGCCCGTCCTCCCAGCTGGGCTCAGAGCCCCATGAGGACAGGACGGGTCTGCCTCTATATTGCTGCGTGGCCAGGACCTACCTGACACAAGTAACAGTCAACACTTTGATCTACTGAAGTGCTGTTGAACTGGTTCCTAGTGACATCCATGGGTTCACAGAAACTGTCCACCTTCCCGTTGCTCCAGCCAAACATCTAACAACTGTCCAGAGTGTCTCTTCTGTCACATTCAATATATTAGCAAATCTTACAGGCTCTACTTTCAAAATATCTCCAGAACCTGACCCCTTACCACTTCCTTCACCGTCAGCCTGGTCCCAGCCACCAGCGTCGCTCTCAAATTCCTGCAGCAACCCCCCAACTAGTCTCTTTGCTTCCATCCCCCACACTCCAGGCCACCCTCCCCTGGAACTGGGGAGTTAGAGAAGAGGAAAGAGTGGCAGAGCCAAGAGCCACACCTGCCTCACCAGCACGGCCACCCTACAGCACAGGCCCTTCAGACAGAGACTCTTCTGGGTGCTGGGGCTTCGAGTGCCTGGGACTCTTCCACTCTCAACACAGCAGCCCAAGTGAGGCTGCTAAAACAAAACCATGTCCTTTCCCCACCCAGAACCCTCCACTGGCAACTTGATTCACTCGCATGAAGGCACAGGTCCTTGTAGGGACCCACAGTGCCCCCAAAGGAGCTAGTTCCAGGGGCCTCTGGTCTTTACAACACCTGTTCCTACCCCTCCAGCCTCCTCGCCCTGCCTGGGATGCACCTGGGCTGCAGGCATAGGCTTGCAAAGCACCTCAGGGCATCTGTGCCTGCTGTCCCCTCTCCCTGCAAAGCTCTTCCTCCGGAATGTGGCTGGGCACATTCTTCCTCACCTCCTGCTCAGCTTCTCAGGCAGGCCTTTCCTAACTCCCCATTGAAAATCACAGAGCCCCACCGCCTTATTCCTCCCTTCTTAATGTTTCCCTATGCCGCATCTCACCATCTGATACACTGTAGCTTTTACTTATTTATTGGCTTTCTATTTACTATTATTTTTGAGACAAGGTCTCACTCTGACGCCCAGGCTGGAGTACAGTGGCACGATCTTGGCTCACTGCAGCCTTGACCTCCCAGGCTCAAGCCTCTTGCCTCAGCCTCCTGAGTAGCTGGGACTACAAGTGTGTGCCGCTGTGCCTAGCTAATTTCATGTTTTTTGTAGAGAGAGGATTTTGCCATTTCGCCGAGGCTGGTCTCGAACTCCTGAGCTCAAGCAATCTGCCCACCTCGGCCTACCAAAGTGCTGGAATTACAGTTGTGAGCCACTGCACCTGGCCTTGGCTTTCCAACTATCCCCTCTTCTGCTGGAACTTAAGTTCCATAAGGACAGAGACCTTTTCTGTTTTGTTCACTGCTACGTCCCCAAGACCCATGACAATGCCTGGCATATAGTAGGCACTCAATAGGTAGTCAACTGGGTTTCTGATTTGGTTTTATTTCATTGAGGGGAAAGGCTGTCCTTCCTGGTATTTGCTGTTTTCTGTGACAATCTGCAGATAGGGATGGGGTAAAGGTGGAAGTGAAAAGTCCAAAGCCTCCCCAGAAAGGACCTGAGAGGAAGACCCCAGAGCGTGATGTGAAAGGGGCTGGGAATTCTCAGGCAGGAGGCCACCTGCATAGAGTGAACAGGCGTCTCTTGGGCTTGGGGCCCCAGGATATATGACTGGGCTTTGGCATTAATCAGGGGGTAATCAATGTCCTGGAAGAGCTGCCTTCATCACAGCTGGACTTGGCCCTTGACCAGCAAGTGCTGTGGTGTTTCAGAACTCTGCCAGGCAGGCAGGAAGGAAGAGGGACTCAGCACCAGGCCAAAGTGGAAGGATGTCAGTATTTGGCAGAGAGGAAATGAAGGTCTGAGGAGAGAAAAAGAGGCAAAGGGGTTGACAGCACTATGCTGTTGCTAAGGGGTACCCAGCACCTTTGGGATCTAGAGCACCATGGGAGCCACAGCCTGAACCAGAGCTCAGGACACAGCAGGGCTGCTGTTTCAGGCCTAAGGAGGTCCGGGGAATGGTGTCTCCTAGTCCCAGCTCCCCGTCAGAATGCTGTGACCTGGAATGAGTCATATCCCCTCTCTCAGCCTCAGTCTCTCATCTGCAAAATGCAGGAAATGCCACCTGTCCCTCCTGCCTTGCAAGGTTATCTGAGCATCCGACCAAGGCATGGCTGTAGGCGCCCACTAGGGCCTGGTGGAAGGACCAGGGATTGATGCCTCCAAGGGGCCTTAGGAGACCTGTGTTCGAGTCCCTGCTCTGTCCCTGGTTCCCAGAGGACCGTAGGCAAGACTTGCCCCTTTTCTAGGACTCAGTTTCCTCCTTGAAGAAAGAAATGCCTACAGCACACACAACTCAAAAACCAAACACAAAAATCACTCCACAAACCACTCCACACAAAAACACACTCCAAAAAAAGGAGAAAAAGCCCAACCCTTTCCCCGAGCCTCAGCACCGTGGGGGCTCGGGACCAAGCCCCACCAGGCCGCTGGGGTCTTTTACCTTCACAGCAGCTGCTGAGTGGCGCAGAGTGCCCGATGAATAACCACAGAGAAACTACAACAGGAACCACGGTGCAGAGTGAGATGGGGAGAGGAGGGGCAAGGAGAACGTGGTGGGTCACAAAACCACTCAAAATCCACCACGGAGAGAGGGGGACCCTCAGGGAGAGGGCTGGGGTCCTGGAAGCTCTGTGATGTCTTGATGGTCCTGAGGGCAGGGGACCACCAGGCACCTGGACAGGCATGGAGGGGGCGGGGGCTGTCTTCCCCGTGAGGCCTTCCATGCACCCTCCAGGTAACCATAGGACAGGAGGAAAATATGAAATAAAAACGCATGCAACCCTGCAGGAGAAAATCTATTAGACCCTCACCCTAGGGCCTAAGGAAAGGCGGAGGGGGCAGTTCTCCCACTGTCTGATGGGATCTGCAGACATGACTTCTTTGCCAGCTTCTCTGAGTATCCACACCCACCCCACATCCTTCAGGCTGGACGTGCTCTTTCTGCCTGTGCTCCCTTTAGCAGCTGGGTTCCAGGGGGTGGACCCCCACAGTAAACCGAGCCCTGACCAGTTCTGCTCTGTGACCTCTCAGGTGACTCTTCTCTGGGCCTTGCACCCCAGCCACATCTCCCAATTAGTACAATAAGAGGACCAGATGGGAACAGCTTTGAGGCTCCTCCAGGCCCCTCCTGGAGCCACAGCAAAGCTCCATACCCATTATGTGGCCAGGGGGGCTCAGATGAAGCTATTGGACAAGGGCAGGCCTCAGACCCAGGCCTGGCCTGTGGGGGCCCTTCCCGAACAACGGAAACCACGCCCAGCTTACCATGGCAACGTCGGCCTGGAATATCTGCTTGATGAACTTGTTCCTGGAGGAGTGGACCAGTTGGATAATGTCCCCATGCAGGGTGTCTCGGTTCTTCTCCAGGAAGCCTGCGAGCAGCAAACAACAGTCACATCTCACCAGCTCTGGGAGGACCTCCCCAAACCCACAACATCTGAGCCAGAAGGAACGTCAAAATCCACTAGTTCCACCATATCCGTTTCATGGTGGGGGACCCTGAGGCCTGGAGGGGACAGAGACTTGCCCAAGATCACAGAGAAAGTGAGGGGCCATCTCCCCAACAACACAGCTCCCCTCTTCCAGACCTGTTCAAGAAGGGCAGGGGGTCTCAGTCTCCAGGAGAAAGCAGGCCTCCTTCCTGACCAATCACCCCAAAGCCACCATGAGTCTTTTGAACTAAGACATCAAAAGGCCTTGTTAAGTAAGTGTGTGACCTGGGAGAGAATGTGTGTTGATCTGGTACAAGCTAATATTAAAGCAATTCATTAAAACCACCTTGTGATTGGACAGTGTGTTATGTTTTACGAGGACCCCTCACAGATCCTTCTATGTGGGACAGGTAGGGATTACATCCTCTGCCCCCAAAGGGAGAAAACCAATGTTCAGAGAAGCTAAGTGAGTTGTCTAACATCACCCAGTAAGCCATGGGCAGAGTTAAGACTTGAACCCAGGATGCCGGTGCAAAGGAGATTCTCTGCACCCAGGACCCAGGACCCAGGACCCCCAGGAGCCTAGGGAGATTCTCCCGCACCACACAGACCCCAGAGAAGGCTGCCACTCACAGGGACCAAGGAGTCGGCAACTGGTTAATGGGGAGGGGGTTGGTAGAGTGGGGCAAGAGACAGGGTGTCCAGGGACTGCAGATGACTGAGGGGGAGTGCCACTGCACAGAGTAGGACAAAGGCTGCCCATGAATGGCAGACTGCACAGAGAACCAGTGCTAGGCTGCCCGCCTGGCACCTGGGGAGGGGGGAGTTGCAGGGTGCATACAGGAATGGAGGGTGGGCCTTGCAGTGGGATGTAATTGGGTTCTCATTAAAGCTCTGACAGACTATGTGATCCTAGAAAGACCCCCATTCTGGGACTCCAGGTTCCTTAACTGTTGGGTGGGAAGGACACTGCCCACAAGCTTGCTTCTCTTCAGAACACCTAATACTGCCCACTTCATAAATCCACAGCATAAATAAGATGCTGTATTGAATAGGTTCTTTGTGAACTAGAAAATGCTGGTAGAATTCTTTCCAGTCATTTAGTCTTGTTTAACAACCTTAGGCAAGCCATTTCCCTTTCTGGGCTTCAGTTTCCAATTCTATTAAGGTAGATGACCCTTATGTTCCCTCCAGACATAGCATTCTATGGTTTTATAACTCAGCATAGAGATTACTCAATTATCACTTCTGTATCCTCAGCAACATCATGAAGCCTGGTACATAATAGATGCTAAGAGCATACTGGTTGAACTGAACGGAAAAATACAATCCTCTATTACTCCAAATGAAAGACCAATTTGTTTGCACGACAGTCCTTCAAACTTAATGTCTGCTTCCTTCTTCCAACAATAAGATTGAATCTCACAGTCCAGTATTTTAAGGGAGCCTGAGCCGCCATCAGATTCTACCACTGCACCCTGGCTCACTGATACACTGCTGACTTCTGGACCAGTTCAGCAAGGGAGTAAGAAACGGATGGGTTACAGCATGTTTGAATGTCTTTGGCCTTTTTTAAAAAAAAATTAATTTTTAATTTTTTGTGGTACATAGTAGGTATAGATATTTATGGGTTAATTGGCCTTTGACTATGAGTAAGATCCCTTGAGGCTGTATGGCAGGGCTCAGGGTAGATACAGCCCATAACTGATGCCAATTTGAGGTTGGCCCTTTATACCAGGGTGGGTGGGAAGGGAAGTCTGCAGTCTTTTGATAAACCCTGTAAGAATTCCAAGTGAGATAAGCCCATGTTCTGACCACTCTTCTTAACTTCCAGCTTTAACATGAACCCAGTTGCATGTCCTCAGGGGAAAAGAAGATGCATGGTCTTCAAAGCTCATGCTTGGTCTTGTTGCTGAGAGTCTTAGCGGGTAACTGGGCCGGTTCTAGGCCTGACTTTGAGCCTAATGGGCTATGTTGTATCAGGTAAGGACAGTCAAGCCCCCACCTTGTTCTGAGCCTCAGTTTCCCTAAATGTACAAACAAGCATTGAGCCCATTCAAAAGAATTGAAAGCAGGGACTTGAATACATATTTGCACACTAGTGTTCAGAGCAGCACTGTTCACAAAAGTCAAAAGGTAGAAACAACCCCAAATGTCCATTTGTAGATAAATGGATAAGCAAAATGTTTATCCACACAATGAAATACTATTCAGCCATGAAAATGAGGGCAATTGATACATGCTACAACATGGTTGAAAATTAACGACATTATGCTAAATGAAACAAGCCAGACACAAAAGGACAGTCATGCCTTCACCGCATAATGACATTTCAGCCAACTACGGATACAATAGTGGTGCCTAAGATGGTAATGATGTATTTTTACTGTACCTTTTCTATGTTTAAATGCACAAATACTTACCATTCTGTCAAAACTGCCTACAGTATTTAGTACAAGAACATGCTGTACAGGTCTGTAGCCTGAGGGCAATAGGCCATACCAGATAATCTGGCTGTGTAGTAGGCTGGACCATTTAGGTGTGTAACTATACTCTACGATGATTGACAATGACCAAATTGCCTAACGACACATTCTCATAAATGACATTAAATGATGTACAGCCATATCATATGATTCCACTTATATGCGGTACCTAGAATAGTCAAACTCACAGACAGAAGTAGAACACAGGTTACAGGGGACTAGGGGTTGGGAAAGGAGATATCGCTCCATGCATGCAGAGGCTCTGTTTGGGGCGGCGAGAAAGCCCTGGAATTAGCAGTACTGGATGTGCAGCACTGTGAAGTACTTAATGCCACTGAATCCAACACTTGGCCATTTTAGTCAAGTGTGTGTGTGTATATATATATATATATATAATCACAAATTTTAAAAATCTTTAAAATTCCGGATATCTTATTCCTGGGCTGGAGAAGGGGAAGGCAGGGCTACAGGCAGGGAGCGACAGACAGCTGGCAGCCCTCTGTACCTTGGGTTTCATAGTAGACGACACCTGCAAAATGGTTGATGCCAAACTGGGTCTCGTGGTTGTTCTTGGGGGGAATGTAGTTCGCATTGAGCTTGTGCTGGGAGTTCAGCTTGTGTAACATGGTGGTGTCCGTGCCCTGGGGAGTGGAGGGGCAACTGTGAGTCCACCCTCTCCTCCATGGGCCCCACTCCCCTCCCTGCCCATGTCTTTGTACCCTGTCTCTTCTTCAGGAGCTTCCCCTCCCTTTATTTCTACCTCACATAGGAGCTCTCTGGGCCCCCATTTCCCCAACTCTTAAGTGGATGAATTGGAACTACGCAACTTTGAAAGTGCATTCCAGTTTAGACAATTGATTTCCCAAGACTAAAATCATGGGTGCAATCCCATCTCCCCCTCCCCAGCTCTGAGATATATGCTGTGTCCTGAGCACCCATTCTGTGCCAACTGCGTGCTTGGATCTTCATGGCCTGGCCCAGGACCCCGTGGACTGTAGGTGATTCCCAAACGGCAGATGACTGTACTTGAATTGGCCCCAGAGCCACCTTGAGGGGTGGGTATCATTAGTCCTATTTTGCAGATGAGGAAAGCTGTGGCTCAGAGCAGGGAAGGAAGCTGTGCATGCCCAAGACCCCGGGAGGTGGCGGCAGGACCGGCCCACCTTGGGGAACTTGCTCTCCTCATCGATGAGGGAGATGATATTCATGGGCTTGTTGGCGATCATGTCCAGGGCGTCCTGGTTGTCGGTGAACTCGATGTGCAGCCAGTCGATGCTCTCCAGGTCATACTCCTCCTGCTCCAGCTTGAACACGTGTCTCACAAAGAACTGCTGCAGGTGCTCATTGGCAAAGTTGATGCAGAGCTGCTCGAAGCTACAGGGGCACAGGGATGGGGTAAGGGTGTTGTTCAGGCCCCACCCTGCAGTTCAGGGCCTGGCTCTGCCTCCACCTGCAGCGTGGCCTTTAGCAAGCTGCTCCCATTGTGGACTCCAAACTCTGAGGCAAGGGGGTTTATCAAGTCCACCTCCCTCCAGGTGCAGAGGAGGACATGGAGGCCCAGCAAGGGCAAAGGACTTGTCCAGGGTCACTCCGTGAGCCAGAAGGAGAGTTAAGGCTTTTCAGGACCCTTTCTCTTGCATGATCAAGCCCTGGGGAGGGCTGGGGATTGGCACGTGGGCACCCAAACCCCAGGCAGATTGCCTGGGAGAGAAAAAGCCCAGACGCTGGCTGGTGGGCCGTACAGGGATATTGAAAGTGGCCTTGGGAGGTGGGAAGGGGGCTGACAAGGCTTGGGAAACAGCCCCGGCTGCAGACAAGACCGAGCCACGGACACAGCCCTGTGTGTTGAGTGTGGTGTTTTGGTGCTGGAGGAGGGCTTTGAGACATCCAAACAGCACAGGAACTGACATGACTTGCCAGGTCCTGACTTCCCAGCAGGAAGTGGGGCTCCAGGACCCACCTGTACATGACACACCCATCAGCCCCTCACATAGCCCCTAAAAGGCAGAGAATCCCAAGGGTGGCTGAGACCCCAATACAAGTGTGGCTCAGGCCCAGCCTCCCTGCTTTGAGACACCTTGCAGCATGGATCTGGGCAGATCAGCAGTGGCCAGCGGGGCCTGGAGACCAGAGGTTGCCTCCCCAAGTGTTCAGGATGTGTACAGCCTCCTCGCAACCCCAGCCAGGCTCAGCTGACCTTGGGGAGGTGAGGGACACAAGGGGATGAGAAAGAAGGGGAGAGGGTCCACCGTGATGGTGGAACAGCCTGGCAGAGTGTATCAGGAGGCAACTAAATGTGCTTCACAAGAGAGGGACATGATTATTTCTTATGTCCATATTGGGGAAGGAAATTCCCATGAGCAGAGCCCCATGCGGTACCTGTTCACAGCAAAGTTCTCGAACCCAAAGATGTCCAGGAGGCCGATGGACCTGCGAGAGTTCTTCACATCCTGGGAGGGAGGCTTGTAAATTGCAGCGTTGATCTTGTCCACAATCCACACGAACAGCCGCCCGTAGATCCCCTGAAAGGCAGCGATCAGCCACTGGCACCAGCCACACCCTTCCCTGGGGGACAGGCCAGGCTCGTGGACCCTTCGTGGCCTCGCTCCAGCCCTTGCGTGGAACAAAGTGATATGTGGAACCCCCAACCCTTTACTTAAGCTGTTCCCTCTGCCTGGAGCCCCCTTCTCCTGCTTGAACAGTTCCTACACATTCTTCAAGACTCTGCTGAGATAACAGCTCCTCTCTGAGAAGCCTTCTCTGACCCTGCAGCCGGGGAAGGAGCCCTCCTTGGGGCTCTCATCTCTCTATCCAACCCTGTTTATCTCTGAGGTCCCCGAACACAGCCCAGGGCCTGGTGTGGTGGGTGAAGGCTCCATGAATGGCAAACGTGTGGCTGTAGAAACAGGACCCGATCCAGCCCCGCTCTTCTGTGTCTTCTACAGAAAGACCAAAGAGAGTAACCCGGGGCTGGGAACAGCATGGCTGATCAAAGCAGGCCAAAAGCCAAGGGCCTGGGGTGGCCAGAGCTAGGAAGGTACCAGAGGAGCACAGGCACCTGGGACTCGAGGAAGGTCGACTGTGGCCCCGGGGCAGGCAGGGGTGGCGACCCAGACGTCTATCCGCCTCCCAGGACTCCTTGGCACCTGCCCATCAACAGCCCAACTTCCCGAGAGTTAGGGCGAGCAAGCGGCCCCTTTCTTCCGGCCCACCTTGACGAAGGCGTCGCGTACGTCCAGTGCCTGCTCCCTGCTCAGTGGGGTGGACACCGTCTCCCCACGGGTGATGAGGGTGCGGCTGGTCAGGCAGCTCATCAGGTCTGGAGGATTCACCTGGTGCAGGCAACACCCCTGGTGCTCACCATCCAGCCTGCCCCTTCCCTCCACCCACAACCAGACCCCTCCACTTTCCAGCACTGGCCTGGCCCAAACCACTGCCTCCACTAAGCACGCCAGCCCCAGGGCCCACGGCCAAATTCTCCCCAGCCATGGAAACCTGCCCTGGTGTTGCCTGGAAGGAACTGCTGTCTCCTTGACAGCCCCGCTTAACTCCCTCCAGCATGTCACCTGTCCTTTCTAGGACCATCCCTAACTCTGGCTTTATTCATCCCCGTTTTCCAACCCTAGTAAGTGTTTGCTAAAAGACAGACAGACTCAATGCATTTGATCCATGGACACCAGTGCCCTTTGCCCAGATGTGGAGATTGAGGCCCAGAAGGCAGGGATGACTCACCCAGGGTCACATAGCCCAGGGCATCACAGGGCCCCCACCTGCCCCATCATCCCCAGGGCAGCTCCTCCAGGACCTGTGCCTAGCACAGGACCTGCATACAGTTGCTTCTCCATATTGAACAGAACTCTCCAAACCAGAGGGTCCCAGCAATGTGGTTCCCACATCCTAGCCCCCAATGAGCTTGAACTCAACCCTTCAGACAGACAGAAGTCGTGGAGGGGAGAAAGGCCGGGCACTGACCTCAAGCAGGGATGCAGCTGTGGCCAGCGACGGCGAGAAGAGGACCTCACAGGCATCCAGATTTTCAAATGTGCGGGCTGTTAGCAGTAAGGGGCACAGCATCAGGGGAGGGAGTGTGGGCAACAGGGGCAAGGGGACTGTCCTAAGAGGACTAGGCTGTCACTCCTGCTGCCGGGGTCCTGCCCTGTCTAGGGAGGGCATCAGCACTGTGACTAAATGCTTCCCCGGGTCAAGGTGTATTTGATTAATGTTCTCACCATGAGACTGCAGGCACCATGAGGGTAGGGACCATGGATGCCCCGCACATGGCACCATGCCTGGCATTCAAGGAACAGACACTGGTTGTTGCAGCTCTCTCCCTACTCCCAGGGCTCTTGGCAGCAACCCTGGCTCCTGTTAGACAAACTTTGGATTGCCCGTCCCAACATGTGCTCTGTTCTCAGGGCCTTTGCACAAGCTCTTCCTTCTGTCAGCTTACATTTCCCTGTGTCTCTTAGTCTTTCAAGATGACTAGACTGTGATCTCCTTAGTGCTGGGATTATTCATTCCCTGGACACATTTCCTGGGGCTCCTACTCTGCCTGGGGACCATGCTGGGAACCAGAGGCAAGAGCAGAGTGGGACCCACCACCTGCCTCAGGGGACCACCTCCCAGCCTGGCACACAGTGGGTGTCCAAGAATGTTAGATGAGTGAACATGTTCCCTTCCCTAGCCTTCTCCCTTTCCAAAGATGGCTATCCAGTCACTCACACCTTACAATGATTAGTTCAAAGATAAACCCTCTCTCTAAGACATCTGACTTTAAAGAAGAAACCAACTTTGAAGTGAGTCTTAAAGGGTCCATAGACAACTCCCAATATACTTTAACTGTACCTCTCCATGGTGGACTGTCAGCACAGCGATACTACACCCAACGCTGATTTCAAGCTAGCAGACCTGTTCAAATCTACCCACAGGCGAATTCTTCCCAGCTTCCATCCCAAAGAGGGCATGTGTTGGGACAGAAACTGAGCCACCAATACCGTGTGGGCAGCAAGGCACTGCACTGCCCTTGGCGCAGGGGTGGGGCAGGGCAAGGGCAGCGCAGCCTCACCCTCATACTGCAGGTTGCCCAGGTGCAGGATGGCGGCCAGGAGCTTCGAGATCTCCCAGTTCTCGGTGTCAGTGAACATGAGCACCTTCATGGCGGAACGGATGTTGGCGTACTCCTGGCTGTCCACCCGGCCCTCACAGGTTATGCAGTTACCCTGGTGGGCAGGGTGGGAGAGTGGGGTGCAGGAGGATGTCAGTGTACCCCCAGAGGGGCAGTGCCTGGCTGCCTGCCCAAAAGGCCCTTTCTGCCTGACAGGCCAGGCCAGCCTGGGGCCCTGGGCGCTGACCTCACCCGGTGAGCACCACAACTCCTCCAGAAAGTCCGGAGGCTCTGGAAAGCCCGGGCTCCCCAGGAACTCATTCTCCACACCTGGGGGTGCTGGTGCCCCTTCTTCCCATGAAGAAGAGCAGGCAGGTCACTGATGCCAGGCCAGCCCCTGTTGCCCACCTGGCAGTCACAGCACTTAGGCCCTACTAGGCTCCTGTAGCCCCCCCAGGGATACCCACTATCAGGGATTTGACCCCCTAGGCAGGTACTGCCTGGTGGAGACAGAGGAGAGAAGTAACTGCATACAAGCAGGGCATCGACGGGGGCACACCGCATTTTCTATGTGTCTACAAGATGTGTGTGTGTGCGTGCACGTGTGCACCAGCCAGCTACAGGAAGTGTCCAGGGTCACCTGTCACACCTACAACACACACATGCACATACACGCATATGCTTCAGGTGCCGTAGCCCACATGTACGTCCATGTGGCCTGGCCCACCCCAGCCCAGCCCAGGCAACCAGACATGGGCTCTCCCCAAGGCTAAAGGAGTGGTGCTCCCCAAGCCAGCCTGCCATGTGCATGCCCCAAGGTCCCCCACCCTTTGCTTGGTGGCAGCAATGGCCAGGGGCCCACTTCTCCTTGGTGTCCAGACAAGCCAGCAAGAAGCTGGCACCTGAGCCCTGTGACCAGTGAGACCTCAAGGCTGAGTCTGCAGCAGCCAGCTCCCTGCAATCCTAGGGTGGATGCCCCCCTAGCCAGGTGCCCGCCTGCGCCTCACCATGGCCAAGTAGTTGTAGTCAGAGGCCTGGCCCAAGCCCAGCTTCTTCTTCTGATCTTCACTCATGCCCTCCAGCATGCAGTAGAACACGTGGTAGTTCCTTTCATCTGGGGCCTGAAAATGTGGGCACAGTGTTGGGGGCCAGGGGAGGCGGGCTGGAGGAGGCCATCAGGATCTAGCCTGGGATGATGGTCTACTATTTTAACAAATGGCTTGTGGAGAAGCCCATCGGTGGGTTTCATGGTGGGGTTTCCAGCACAGAGGCAAGCAGGCAACAATACGGGCAGGTAGGGGAGCATCAGGGCCACACAGACCCCTGAGGCCAGGGACCTGGGTCTATTCCTGCATCCCTGGGGCTCAGGCCCACCTGGCGACAGACGCGCGACTTCTCCAGCAGGTACTGCTCAATCTTGGCGCCCTCGATGGCGCCCCGCTTGTTGAAGTGGATGTCGATGTACTTTCCGAAACGGCTTGAGTTATCGTTGCGGATGGTCTTGGCATTCCCGAATGCTGTGGAGTGAGTAGGGTGTCACTGGCAAAGCCCTCTCCCGCTCCACTGCCTGGTCCCACCCTCGGAACCCTGGCCCTACCTTCCAGAATGGGGGTGGCCTCCAAGACCTGCTGCTCAATCCATGAGTGTTGTCCACTGATGGCTGCCAGGAACTGCAGGATCAGCTTTGTGCTCTCCGTCTTCCCAGCCCCAGATTCCCCACTGCAGAGGAAGGGAGTGGCAGGACCTGTCACAACCTACAGAGACTCCCCACCCAACTGGAACTCAGCCCAGGCTGCACCATCCACCAGCTCCCCCATCTGTAATACCGGCTGACAATATGGACCCTCCAGGGCTGGGGCAGGGCTCAAGGGCCCAGTGCTCTACCGCATTCTCCTTCACCTTCATTCAGACACAAACACCCCTGCATCTGTACTTGCCATAGAGAACAACGCATATTAGATGTGCAGTCAATGCTCTGTCTTTTACCCTCTGTCCAAAAGAAAATAGGAGCCTGAGATGTCAACTGACCACAACTTAACAGGAGCCAGCAGTAAACAAGGCTGGCCTCAAAAGCTAACGTGAGCTTTGGTAGCGTAGAGATATAATACCTGAGAAAGGGGAGGTGATTTTCTACATTGTTACACAGCACAGAGTACATAGGTCTGGTTCCTGAGGAGCTTGATGGCATTTCCGATAGCACGGGCAATCCCTAGAGGTATCAGCAGGAACCCACAGCTGGAGCTCTAGGTCCTAAGCCTGGAGCTCCACACAGGTGCTGGGCCGCCCACCTGATGATGCAGCACTGGTCACGGCTATTGCGTTTCATGTTGAAGTAGCAGTTGTCAGCAATGGCAAAGATGTGGGGGGGCATCTCCCCAATCTTCTTGTTGGTATACTGGCGGATGTGCTCTGGTGAGTAGATGGAGAGCAGCTGGTAGGGGTTCACGGCCACCAGGATGGAGCCCGTATACGTCTGTGGGCAGCAAGAGATGGGGAGCTCACTGACTCTGTGTGGGAGACTCTGACTCTAGAAAGCTTTTGGGCTCTGCTCTGGAGGGAAGAGTCCTGGCTTTGGAGTCGTGTGGGTGGACCTGGAGCCAGAATCGGGCCTCCTTAGGAGCTGGGGCAGGGCCATCCATCCAGCACTGGGTCTGGCTCGGAGTTAGTGTTCAGTGACATTTGATGAAGAGGTAGGTGGTGTCTCTACGCCTAGATTTCCTTCTCTTTATCTGTAAAAATGAGTATAACTGCTTGTGAAGATTAGAGGAGGTGGTATCTTTTAAAATTCATGGCACACAGTAGGTACTCTGCAAATGCTGACTCCCACCATGGCCTTCAGGCCCTGTATCCCAAGCTTTTGGAGTGAAATTAATCAACGGGACCATGTCCGGGGGGAGGCCAGGTTGGTGAGGGAGAGGGGTGTGAGAAATGAGCTATAAAGAGCTGAAGGAGCTGGGGTAAGTGGCTTGGGGGCTGGGTGGGCCCCACTCTCTGTAGCACTGCCCCAGGACAAAGGGAGATGCTGTGCTCTGGGGGAGAGAGCACCTCCAGTCATCCTGCGCAGTGTAGGCACAGGGGCCAGGTGCACCTCAGATAGCCTTAAGGGGGTTCTCTACTTGGGCTCCTCTGTTAGTGCAAAGATCAGCTGTCTGTAGGCAAGGCTTCCTGTTGTGGGCTTGGGGTCCTGCCACAGGGGACAACAGCCTGGCCCTCCTGCCACCAGACCAGGGTGAGGCACTCAGGGTTACTTCTCCCTCCTCCCACCCCATGTCTCAAATTTGAAAAGGTCAGGCAGGCCTAGACCATAATTGGCAGTGGATGTATTGATATCTGGGGCCTGGAGAGGCTGAAGAAAGATGTCCAGGGGAGGTGACAGTCCACCCTCCCCCTCCCATTCAGGGCTCAGTGCATCACAGCAGAGCCGCAGCTATGCCCCAGCAGCCTCAGCCTACCGTGGCCATGCAGAGAGCTGACTTCCCTGGCTGCAGGCACTGCATGCTGGGGGAAACGCCCACCCTGGGGCCAGGTGGGGCCAAGACCCAGCCTCCAGTCCTGGCCTTGGCTGTCCTGGACCAGAACAGCTGGCCAGAAACTGCCCTTCTCTGGGCCCAGGAAGACCTTCCTTTCCCACCTAAGCCTCTTCCTCCAATCAGCCCATGGAGGGAAGCACTTGAGCCTCACTGTGCTGACCTACTAACCATGCCACGAGAGCCAAGCAGGAAGAGCTAGGGTGGGGTGGGGGTGGGAGGCTGGAGGGGAGCAGCCAGGCCAAGCAGGCAACCAAATAAGACACCAGCTGGAGCCGGCTTTCTGTGCCACACTCACCCGCCCTCCGCAGTTGGTCTGAGGTTGCAAAGTGCAGAGCAGAAGAAAAGGAAGCTGGTCAGTGGGGAACAGGGGCTATAAGAGCATTTTCCACGAATGGCACCCACATGGCCCAGGGCTGCTGAATTCTCAGATCAGGCCCTGCCCTTGGACCCCTCAGGCACGGTCCCCTACAGCTCGGCCCTGCCCAGCCGTGGGAGCTGGCTAGATTCTGGTGGAAACCTGCATCAGACTAGGAACCAGCCCCAAAGAACGTCCCTTTGGCAAACCTCAGTTTGCTCATTTGTAAAAGGGGAGGTTAACACCCACTTCCCTTGGCTGTTGTAAAGACTAAAGGGAAAAGACATAATTTTGCCAGTTGCCTGGTACATAAACGCCACCTTCCTTTCTCTCTTTTGAGGCAGAGTCTCGCTCTGTCGCCCAAGCTGGGTACAGTGGCTCAATCTCAGCTCACTGCAACCTCCATCTTCTGGGTTCAAGAGATTCTCCTGCCTCAGCCTCTCGAGTAGCTGGGATTCCAGGCATGTGTCACAATGCCCAACTAAACTTTCTTCCTGATTTCTTCTTAATAATGTGATGCTCAGCCATCTGGCCCATGATCCCCACACAGCACAGGCTGATGCCATGCAGCCATTCAACAACCCTCTGCTGAGACACACGGGGAGGCTGGGGTGTGAGGGCCCTGATGGAGGCACCTAGATCTCATGAGGTAGGGGTGTAGGGGAGGGAGAGCCAGGGGGCCCGCCCGCGGGTAGCAAGCACAGAGGCGTGAAAGGGCGTGACATTTGGGAGGTCTGCTGCTGAAAGGTCACCCCGGCAGTTGTGGGGATGAATGGTAGTCACCCAGGCTGGAGGCAGAGGCCGTTTCAGACCTAATGGACCAGCCTCCGGGAAGTGGTCAGAGCTCAGTGGAGGGAGGCCCTGGGAGCAGGCTCCGTGGCCACGTGCAGGGCACGGGCAGTCCAGAGAGGGAAATGGGGGATGCTGAGACGCTCTGAGTAGCTGGCCCAGGGCTGGGGCTAGGCCTTCTCCCACCCATGGCACCCACGGCCTTCTCCACCCTGCCCACAGCCCAGAGGGTCCTCCTGCGCATGAACCCTTCAGCCCTGAGCCTCCTGACATCCCTACTTGATGCCACTGGCACGTCCAGACCAGAGCTCCCCGTTCCCTCCAACCCTGCTCTCTCCAGCCTTCCCAACTTGACCAACAGCGTCACCACATCCCTCGCCCAGGGCAGGAACCTGGGGAGCCCCTGGACACCCCTCCCTCACACCACTCCCACTCTCCATCTGCATGCCGCCTCCCTGGCCAGGCCACGCTCATTTCTCAGCAGCCCACTGCAGGTGCCTCCCCACTGGGCTCCCGGCTTCCACACTCGCCCCCACAACAATCTATCCTCCACTCAGAGCTGCGCCAGCTTTTAAAACATCTAACCACATCATCCCTGCTGAAAACCCTCCAGCGGTTTCCCACAGCCTCCGGACAAAGTCCAAATGCTCTTCCTGCCCACAAAGCCCCAAGCCCTGGCCCCTGCCACCCTCGTCAACCTCAACCCACAACCAAGAGGCTCCATTCATATGAAACTTTCAGTTAAAAGCACCACACTCCAACCCCTGCCATCTCAGACCAGGGACACACTTCCCCTACCCCTTCACCCAGATAATTCCTTTTCATCCTTCAGTTCCAAGCCGAGATGACGCCTCCTCCAGGAAGCCAGGCACCTTCCTGTACAATCATCATAGCCACAGGTCTCCTTCAGCATGCCCAGCTGATTCCTCTACAGTCCCCATTCAAGGCCTCCATCCCTCAGGGCCTGTCACCATGCATGGCACATAGGAGATGCTCAGCAACATTTGCTGAGTGGCTGAAAGAGCAACTAGATCAATGGGCGGGGAAGTACTGGGTGAACAGCGTCCACCGCCAGCCACAGCAACCTGCAGGGAAGGTAGCGAGGGGACAGGCCTGTCAGCAGCACTGAGGCAGCCCCAGCCACGTTGACTGGAAGGGCAATCGGGATGTGGCCAGTGGAAAACCACAGAACAGCGTGGAAGGGATGCTACCATCTGTGCAGAAAAAATGAATAATTTTTTGTATATGTATGTATGCATGTATGTATCTACCTAACTACTACAAAACAAATAAAAGAAATGAGTCCTCTTTCCTCGGTGAGGAGGATTCTTTCCAGCAACAGGGCAAGAGCAAGCCCTCTTGGGCTCAGGACTTTGCAGCTCCTGCTCCATCACCCCTTTTACTCCTCAGAAGGCCTCGGGAGGTGTGGTCATATTCCCCTTTCGCAGATGAGAGAAGCGAGCCTCCAGGAAGTGGGGAGACTTGTCAAGGTCACACAGCAGATGTGTGTGGGGTGGGGTGAATGAGAAACCCTGGCACCAGAGCCCCAGCTCTGGCATCTCCACCTGGGCTTCCCCAGACCCCAGAAACACACCCACAGGACCTGCAGAGCCAGCAGCTGGGGTCTCCTGAAGAGGAGGCTGGCCACCACTGGCAATGAGACCCTGGCCCTATCTGGGCTTCTGTGCCCATTGGTCCTCCAAGGTCTTAGCACTGCTCCCTGAGCCCTCTGGCCTGTCTCTCTGACTCCAAGGATTCAGACTGGCAGAGAATGAATGCCCAGCACAGACCTCTTGCTCAAATCTCTAGTAGTAAAATCTGCCCTGCGGAGCCACAGGTTGGGTGGGGAGAGAGAAGGACTGTTCCCAAACCAGGGATACAGCACATGTGGCCCCTAGGGGTCCCCAGACAGAGCTCAGGGGGCCTCTCTGAGGCCACAGAGATGTAGCAGGAATCAATTTCACCGCCTCCAGGAAGCACCCTGGCCTGTCGGCTCTGGGGACTTCATTAGTATTTAGCAGGCCATGGAGACCAAGAACACATCCTGGGACTCAAGTCTTCCCAGAGCCACAGAGGTGCCCACTCCATGCAGTCTCCCTGTTGTGCCTACGAAAGGCTGAGACCAGACAGGGATAGGGACGTCCCCAAGGGCACACGCCAAGACTGGACACCAGCCTCCTGCCTCCCAGATAAGGGCTCCAGCCTCTGCTCAGCGTTAGAGAGCCCTGGGTCCCCACCAGCCCTTCCACCCAATGCGGGGACAGTCCTTGCTCTCTGGGCATGCAGTGAGGGGTTGCTAAATGTTCTCTAAGTGCCTTTCCTCATCCTGGAGTGGCTAGGGCTGATGTGTGGCCCTGGGATGCTCTCTTGGGCTCCTGGGGACAGGGAAGCTGGAGGCAGGAGAGCCCAGGACAGGCAGTCGAGAACAGAGCATCCACCAGCCCAAGGCTGTGAGCTGGCCATGGTAATCGGAGGAAATTCTGAGTGCATGTGTTGTGCCCAGGGTAATCCAATCCATGAAGGGACAGGGGGTTGCCATGGTTAGGGACAGGTACAGTTTCCGGGTGGAACAATGGCCCGGTTGCTTCTAAAAAGCCCTGCTCTAATCCTACCTCATCCACCAAGTCACAGAATCACGAACTCAGTGAGTCAAGGAAACCTCTTTGAATCCTGCAGTTCTTGAGCATGTCCAAGAGACACTGAGAATCTAAGGTTGGCTGACTATTGGAGCTGAAGCCCTTCCAGGTGCCACAGCGCGGTTTCCTGGCCAGGCATCCTGGACAAGAAGGCAGCTTAGACACCTACCTGGACCCCTACCCCATCCCTCCACAGGGGATGGCCCCGCCTCCTCCCTCTCACCCAGAAAATAAGTCAGAAAGGTTATGTGAGAACTTCAAAGGAGGCAAATGGTTCAGATTTCGGGCCTTTCTGGAGAACCCATAAATCCCTGAAGTTATTTTCTTTGAAACTCTCCTGGAGGATGTAATGTCCAAGCAATCCTCTGCTGGCCGCCCGGGCATCAGCTCACCACCCTCCTAACTTTACAGACAAGATTCACCGAGCCCACAGGGTCTGAAGTTTTTTCCTCCCTCTCCCTTATGAATCCTGTTTTTGCCTTTGTTCCTAGATGCAGCTGACCTACCGACTCCCTTGCATGAGGACCGGCTTGCCTGCACTGTGGCTGACCCACAGGCTTCAAGCCCCTGAGCTGTGCTGAGACACTGGTCTGCAGGATGCCTGGTGGGACAACTTCCATCTTACCCAGCTCCTCCCCTGAGACGGGGCCCTCTGCGTCTCCTGACAGGAGAGTGGGCCTTGGGTTCCAGCCTTGGCATAGGACTAAGACAAAGCATTGGCCCTGGAAGTGCCCTGCAGGCAGGTAGACAGGCTCCCTGCTCACCTAAGACTGCCCAGGCCTGGGTGAGTGGCCACAGAGGACCCCAGCACCCACCAGTGACCACTTGCCCTCCAGGGAGAGGAACAAAGAGGGGGCTGCCAAGAAGTGGGGTGTAGACACCAGCAGGTCCTTGTGAGATACAGCGGGTGGGTGTCCCTGCCCTGGGCTTAAGTTCTAGCTCCTCCCCGCTGCCTGGGTGATGCTGATGACATCTGGAGGTACCCTCCATGTCCTGCCCCTCTAAGTGCAGGTGAGGCCTGACTGAGGAACACAGTGAGAGGGGCTTTGTCAGGGCTAGAGGGCTCTCTGCCAAAGTCACTTCCTGTGCCCAAACAATGGACGGCAAGGAGCCACATGCAGCCTCTCCTCTGGAGCCTAAAGCTGCAGAGGGACCTAGAGTCAGAGAGTGGCTGAGGACTGAGGACCTCTCTGGCAGCTGAGGGGCCATAATTCAGGGCTTCTGAGAGGGACTGAACCCCTGGCCCTGAGAGCTCCTTGTCGTGATTCTTCAGTGACAATACCTGGGGCTCTCTGAGACTTTTCCAGCCCTGGGCCCTGGCACCCCTTCATGGTCCTGACAACCTGAGGGATGCTGTGCCTGCCAATCACTCACGAGCATGGCCCTGCCTCCAGCATTTATTCAGGCCATGCCCCTCCTGAATGCCATCTCTACCAGCCAACCTCACCCACCTCCAGAAGCCCAAATACCACTCCTCTGAGCTGGGAGCCAAATCACTCCTGCAGACCTGACACCTCCCCCAGTAATGCCCCTAGTACCAGCCTTCCCTGGGCCTGGGTCTCGAGATAATCAGGCCGGCACTGTGTTGGCGGGAGGGGGATCCTTCCTGCTCCCTGCTGGGGGTTGCACCTCCTTGGTTTCCTTTGCCCTTGCACTGCTGGAGGATGGGGCTGGGTCAGAAGCAGGCAGTGACCCGGGCACGGCACCTCTCTGGGCCTGATTAAACCTGCGGCGTCTCAGTTTCCCTGTCTGCAACTGGGCTATGGGGTAGAGCAGCAGTTCTCAGAGTGTAGACCAAAGACCCCTGGGGGTCCAAGACCCTTGCAGGAAGTCTGCAAAGCCTTCTCTTTTCCAACTACACATCTGTGAGGCCAAATTTTCTTCATACACTTCAGCCAAAATATCCCATCAGACTGGACATTAAGCAGAGATGAGAATCCAGTTGGCTTTATTAAGCCAGACATTAAAGAGATTTGAAAAAACCTGTAAAACAATGCTACTCTTCTCACCATTATTTTATTTTGGGAAATGTCATTTTTAGTAAAAATGTTATTTATGTTATAATAGATTTATCATGGTTACTTTTTCAAAAATTAATATGTTTCTAAATGTCTCAGTTTTAACTTCTAATATGGCAAATATCTACAGATATAACTCAGTATACAAAAGTCCTTTGGGATCCTCAATAATCCTCAATAATTTTTAAGAACATAAAGGGTTCCTGTGACCAAAAAGTGTGAGAAGCTCTAGAGTAAATGATCTGCACGGACCCTTATTGTTCTGCTCTTCTCTGAGCTCAGCCTCTTGGAATCTGCTGTGTCCTGGCTGGGGAAGGCATCTTTCTTTGTCGTCTTGAGTTTGAAGGTGGAGAGTGGTGCGTGTGTGTGTGTGTTTCTAATATCAAGGTTTGAGGGGAGGAGGAGCAGAGCATGTTCCCTCCTTTAGCATCCTCCTGAGGACATCCATCTATCCTCTCTTGCCCCCGAGGCCTGATGGCAGGTCCTAGCCCCTTAGCAAACACACAGCAGAGCAGCCCTTCTGTGCCTGGGCAAAGCACCAAGCGGCTCACTGACTCCGCTCTGGCCTTCCATTGGTTTCAAGGCCTAGAGAGGCACATGAAAACTGTGTAGTACAAACCGCTCCCCACCCCAACCACAGCACAAAAGCCACGGCCCACGAGGATGAGCCCCCGCCGAGCGAGCGAGCGGCTGCTGGCAGATGGGCCCCAACAGGGGCCCCGGGGTCCAGCTGTACAGCGGACAAAGTCTTAGGAGGCGGCCCCCGGCAGGGCGGGCGTGCTGGAGGTGGGGCGGGCGGGGCGGGGTGGGGCGGGGCGAGGTGGGTGGGGTGGGGCGGGGCGTGGAGGGGCCTGGACTGGCACGCTGGCGGGGCGGCACTCACGTAGATGAGGTGGTCTCGGTAGCGGATAAGCAGGTTGCGCAAGATGCCCGCCTCGTTGAGGTCCCCTAGGCGGATCATATCCTCCACGCCGTGGACCGACGTGGGGTGCATAGGCTTGATGTGCGTTGCGTTCTGCGGGGAGATCCAGTGTTCCTGCGGGGAGCCGGTGGCCAACGTCAGCGCGCTTCAGGGGAAGGGGCCGGGATGGGCGGGAGCGCGGGGTGAGTGCTAACCCCGGTAAGGGCCTTGACCTCTCTGGCGGTCAAACACGGTCAGTTCTAACAAGGTTGAGCCTTTCAGGATGGTACTAGCCACCTCTGCCCCTCAAGGACGGCTCCTTCTCTTAGGGGATTCTCTCGCAGACCTAAGAGGTGGGCAGGGCAGGGATTTTGGCCCCAGCTAACTGCTGTCAGTAAGGGGATTAGAGTTCCCTCAGGCCCTCTGCAGGATGGAGTGGAAAGGGTACTAATTAGAGGTAGACAGGCTTGGTCTCAAATTCAGGCTCCAGTGGAAAAAAAAAAAAAAAAACATTAAAAAGTGATTTCAGGCCGGGCGCGGTGGCTCAAGCCTGTAATCCCAGCACTTTGGGAGGCCGAGACGGGCGGATCACGAGGTCAGGAGATCGAGACCATCCTGGCGAACACGGTGAAACCCTGTCTCTACTAAAAAAATACAAAAAACTAGCCGGGCGAGGTGGCGGGCGCCTATAGTCCCAGCTACTGGGGAGGCTGCGGCAGGAGAATGGCGTAAATCCGGGAGGCGGAGCTTGCAGTGAGCTGAGATGCAGCCACTGCACTCCAGCCCGGGCGACAGAGCAAGACTCCGTCTCAAAAAAAAAAAAAAAGTGATTTCAGATAGTGCCAAGAATACCTCAACAGGTGTATGTGGTGGAGAGTCACGGGGGGAGCTGCTTGAGATGGGTTGGTCAGGGTCTGCCCCTCTGAGGGGGTGGCATATGAGCTGAGGCATGAAGGAAGAGAAAGAGACCACTGTAAAAAGATTGGGGGGTGGGGGCGGGGGGCCAGAGGGCTCCAGGTCCAGGGAACAGCAAAACAACGGCTCAGGCCGGCAAAGCCTTGGCACATTCAAGGGAAAGACGGAAGGCGGGGCAGTAGCAGTGGTGCTGAGGAGAAGTGGACCCACCAGGCGGTATTTCCTGGGGCTTGCTGATGAGCTGTGGGAGCAAGGGGTGTGAACTCTCAGGACCTGTGAGCTGAAGTGGAGGACACAGGTTGCTTGCCCAGCTCTCCTTACTCTGCAGTATTCCCCGGCTGCCCTGTGGTGGCAGATGGGTGAGCATTTGGGAAGTGCACCGGCTCTTTCAACAAGCTGGCAAAGCCCTGGTTTCCTCAGGGCCCTGGGGCCCTCCCCGACCCCAGAGGGGGGTCTCCAGCACCTTCATAAAATCCCAGACTTTCAGGGAAGTGTGGCCACCGCCTGAGTGTACCTCAGCCCTCCCATCCCCAAATGCCATGACCAAGTAGCCCCAGGACCTGCCTTTTGGGGGAAAAGGGGACCTCTCTGCCATCCCCCAGCTCAGGCCCTGAGACTTGCTGAGCAGATGTGATGCACATGCCATGTCCTCCCCCACCTGCTCCTCCTCCGGGTCCCTTCTGGCAGAGCCAACCCCAACAGCTGGACACTAGCATGAATCTGGACATCAGCTCCCCACCATCACCACCCCAGTCCAATGGGTCACCCAGTCCTGCCCATTCAACCCTCTAAAAGGCTGCTGAGTGGGCAGTGCCCTCCTCACCACCCTCAAGCCCACACCCTGATTGAGACCACCGTTTCTCACTGGCCCTTCCATCAAATCCTTCATCCCCTGGTCCTTTCCTGAGGCACGCTCCTGACCCTGTCACTCTGGGGCTCTCAGCCCTTCCTTAACTCCCCTGGGCTCCTCAGCCTGGCATCAAGGGCCCACATGTGCTGGACACAGGGATCCCTAACCTCCATCCCAGCTACCCCTGGCACTTCCTAGCCAGGGAACATGGGTTTTGTGTCCCCAAAGGCCTCTGTGACTTTGCTCCACCATTCCTTCTACCTTCTTTCTCCTTAGCCTTCGAGGCTTGGCTCAGAGGTTTCCCAGTTTCTGAAGCCTCCCCTGACAGTGCTGGCCACCCTCACCTGTGCTGTCCCCCTGCCTCCAGGGCCACATCTGAGGCAACAGGGGCTAGGCACAAATGATGTGGCAGGGAGCCTCTGATGGGACAGATGGCTGGCTGGTGACTGTAGGGGACCAGGTCTGAATGCGAGGCAGAAGTCAGTCATGGAGAGACCCCAGAAGTCCCCCATTTCAGCCCCCTCACTTCACATGAGAAAACAGGCTTGGAGGACGGTGGCAGCCTGCCCAGGCCCTCAGGGGGATCAGGGGCTGCGCTGGGCAGAGCCCCCCAGCCCAGTTTCCCTGACACTCCACGGCACTTCCAGGCCAGCAGCACTTCAACACAGGGTAGGCTCTCATGCAGCCTCCCCAAGGCGAGGGGTTGGGTGCTGACGTTAGGGAACCTGCCTGGACTTTCCAGTCCCGTGTGGAACATTCCTCTCTCCCAGGCACCCTATGTCTTATACAAGCTGATCCCGTTGGAAAATCTCCCCACACCGTCCCTGCTCTGTGCCTCTATCCTAGGCCCCAGTGTGGACAGGAGGGGAGAGGGCTCCTGGGCAGGCTGTCTGCCATCCCCATTTGACCCCAACCTCGGGTCCCCACATCCCTCCCCAAAACAGTTCCGCACACAGGTTGACAGTGCTCAGTCACGGCATGACCCCGGACCCCAAAGTACATCAGTTTACCCTCCTGAGCCTCCACGTCCTCAGCTGCGAAATGGGAATGAGAGTAAGCGTCCCTTTTTCCCAGGGTTTTGGGAGGACTGATGGATGTGATCACGACATCCATCTTTGTTGACAGCTTTCTCCTGCCAGGTCTGTAGAGTGCTGCTGCTTGGTAAATGCTCAGCCAGAGCTGGGCATTGTCACTCTACTGCCTTTTGATTTACATTTGCTCTTCTAACATCCCTAACAGAGAATCACTGACCCCATTTAACAGTGACGAGTCTGACTCAAGAGGTAAAATGACTTGCCCAGTAGCTGCGCCGCTCACACTGTTTCCTGCGTGGGAGGACTCCCAACAGAGGCCAGCACCCTTCAGGTCAAGGTCCACAGGTACCTACCAGGGGCCAAAGTGTAACCAGGGCAGTAACTGAGGCCTGGCCTGAAGGAATGCCAGCAACTGGGGGAGGGGAACATGGTCAATTCCAAGGACCAAGTACGCCTTTGGGAAAGAGCTGGCCTGGACTGAGCGGGGACAACTTGCTCCCTAGAGGAAGGGAAGGAGGGGTGTATCTGGCAACAGAAATGGCTTGGACAAAGGCAAGACACTGGGATTCCAGTGGGGACTGGAACCATAACCTTTCATTCATCACTCGGCAAGTCTTTACCAAGAGGTTTCTCTGGGCAGACCCCTTGATGAACTCTGGGGAACCAGATGGGACTGGCCTGTTCCCTGCTCTCAAGTTGCTAGGAGTCTGTGGGCAGACAGAGGGGTAAGAGATGACAGCCTGGAGTGGGGAAAGAGGGGATGGAATGGGGGTGGGAAAGGCTTGTAAAGAAGGGGTCTGGAAGCCCTGGGGGTCCAATGCCACGGATGCAAACCCCAGCCTCCTGAAATGCCCCTGCCAGCCAGTCATGCCCACCCCTCCTGCAGCCCCCACTCTCAGGGCCTGGGTGGAGGAGAAGCGGAAGGGGACCTTTGGGATTCAGTGACTCAGAGTTACGGGACACCATCTGACATGCAACATGACCCAGGTGAAACTCAAGCCTGCAGACAGAGTCCCTGGTCCCCACCCTGGGGGCTCTGGGCAGGTTAGCAGACCTGTCTGTGCTGCCAGCCAGCCTGTGCCTCCCCTTCTGGGGCTGCACCCTCACAGTAGCTTCCTAGAGGGTCCTAGAACTGGAGCCTCTGGAGCGATATTGGAAGCACTTCAGTTCTACAGCCCAGGGGCCAAAAATGTGATTAGCAGAACCTGATCCCTAAAGTCGCCGCTGAGATAACGCTGACAGGGGAGACTCACGCACAGAAGACAGAAGTCCTGGGTTCTACTGAGATAACGCTGACAGGGGAGACTCACGCATAGAAGACAGAAGTCCTGGGTTCTACTGAGATAACGCTGACAGGGGAGACTCACGCATAGAGATCCGGCTATGGAAGGAGACTCACGCATAGAAGACAGAAGTCCTGGGTTCTACTGAGATAACGCTGACAGGGGAGACTCACGCATAGAAGACAGAAGTCCTGGGTTCTACTGAGATAACGCTGACAGGGGAGACTCACGCATAGAAGACAGAAGTCCTGGGTTCTACTGAGATAATGCTGACAGGGGAAACTCACGCACAGAAGACAGAAGTCCTGGGTTCTAATGCCAGCACCACCACTTACTAGCTGTGTGACTGGCTGCGTGGTCCCTCTATGTGCCTCAGTTTCCTCATGGGGTAACAGTTCTTTCCCTCCCTGCCTTCCACAGATGCCATGAGAGTCCAAAGACAGAACTTGGGTTAAAGGGCCTTGTAAACACTGAGGGGATGCACCTGAGGGCTGCAGGAATATGTGGGATGCTCCTGCCCACTCCATGTCAATCCTGGCCTCGAGGATCCTGAGCCCTCCTCTCATCCCCAGCAGAGCCTTGGTTTCAAGTCCCTGCACCCTCTTTCTCCTGACTCTCCTCCCTCAGACCAGGAGGCTAAGACAGGTACTCAGTCCAGTTCTATGTCCCCAGCCCCTGGCACACCATGGGGCACAGCCCACATTATGGCAGAGCTGAATCTCCCTGGGTTCTTCATATCCCTGCTAAGCTGCACTTGTGTGCTCTGTACCCCATCTGCATACCCCCAGTGACACACACATGTGCACACATGCTCAGAGGCCCCAGAGCTTCCCCTGCGGGCCCGCATGTGAACCAGCCTCCTTCTCCAGGGCAGGCCCCTGACTTCAGACCTCTCCGAGGCCCCACTATCACTACCTAGAAAACTTACACTTCTGGGGTCCCTTTCCTTTTGGGCCACAGATAAAGGGTTAAATCTGTGAGACCAATTTCCGGGACAGTGTCAAGGTGGACAGTGGATTCATGTGATGTCAGTAACCCAATACAGTAAGGCTGTGGGCGTTCATTTAACTTTCAGACTAGCACTAACTTCACTGAGGTGTTCTACACGTGTGATCTCACATATGGGTCAACAGCCCTCTGAGATACTTATTATTATCCTCATTTTACAAAGAGGAAACTGAGGCTCAGGAGGGAAGGAGACTTGGCCAAGTCTGCACAGCTAACAAGTGGATGAGATGGGATTTGAATGCAGTCAGTCTGCCCCCAAAGCACCTCCGTGTCTGAGGAGCTTCTAGCCTGCTCCCCCAGCACTCAAACCCCACCATACACACACACATCTCTAACACTAGGCAGAGTGAACTGAAGTGCTTGTGGAAACAGAACAAGTAGCCTGAGGCAGGCAGGGGGTTCCCTCTTGCTGGGGTGCTGGGGAAGGCTCATGGAAGGAGGCATCTGACAGGCAGAAGTGGGGGCACGGGCACAGCCTCCATCTCCTTTAGATCATCTCCCTGCCTTGAGGCAGCTGTCAGCCCAGATCTTCCCCCAAGGCATGGGGCAGGAGGAGGGAGGGGACTACTCACATTGCCTTCATCGTCCACCACCTGGATCTGCCCAGAGTCGCAGAGCTTCACCACTGCCCCGATGGGCACATCAAACTCCTGCCCCGATCTCAGGTCCATCCACACATAGTCCCCCTATGGGCGAGAGAGAGTCCCAGGCCAGGTGAGCAGGGAGCCCCCTTCCAGGCAGCCCTGCATCCCTCTGCTACCACCAGAGGCTCTGGGCCAACCACAGAAGGGGGAAGAGAAGGGGACTCACACTTACTAGAAACCTTCTGGAGCAGGGCAGGCCCTGGGCTGGCCATTTATGCAATGTCATCAGTCCCTCCTCTAGAGCAGCCATGTTCCCATTTTACAGAAGAGTTAGCAGAGGCTCAGAGGGAGCCAAAGCCTCTTGAAGCCCAGCTCTCCCCATGGATCTACACTCTACATGTGTATGACAGATTCACTGGAGTCTAGACAGAAACACAAGACCACTCAAACCACTTCCTCTCTAACATGAGGTGACACCAGAGGACACCCAGACCGTGGGTGAGCTGCATCCTTCTTTACCTCCAGGGCCGATTTTCATCATCATCATGACAGGTTCCTCACAGGGACACCACTCCTTGCTGGGCCCTAGATAAGGGTTCAGCCACATTGTCTTCTGGCATGTGGGGAGCGCCCTGACCTCGCAGGAGGATGTCGTTTTGTGTTTCTGTGGCATCTGGCCCAGGGCCTGGGTCTCACTACTCACTCAGTAAGGGATCGTGAGTCAAACGTAAAATCCCAAGTCAGAGAAATGGACTGAGAACAACCACATTCAGCACTGATGGATTCAACAGACATGTATTGATTACCTACTGAGTACAAAACACTGATTAATCTAAATGCTGGGGGTTGAGCAGTGATTATGGAGTCTACATTCAAGTTAGAGGTGGTGACAAACAACTGAGCAAATAGATCAGCATGATCACTTTGGATACTGGGGTGAGTGCTGTCAAGGGAATAAACAAGCCAGTGGTAGAGAATGACAGGGCCAACCAACCTAGACCCAGTAGCCAATGGAGCTGCTCCGTGGAGGGAATCGCTGAACTGACACCTGAAGGGTGACAAGCAGTCAGCCAAGGGAAAAGCAGGGGACAGTAATCCCAGCATAGGAAAGAACATGTGCAAAGGCCCTGTGGCAGGAAGGAACAGCCAGGAGGCAGGACCTAATGAGCAAAAGGGAGCTCAGAGAAGTAGACAGGGTCCAGGATACATAGGCCCTTTGTTGGCCTTGGGATACAAGCTTAGATTTTATTCTAATCCTAATAAAAGTATTCTTTTTTGGATGGTACTCAAACTCCCTAGGAGTGTGGAAGAACTCAGACATTCTAATAAGAATATAACTTAATATCAAATTGCAAATAAAAATGTAACAGCTGATAAAACTGATTCACAATGAAGTAAACCCATGGGAATGGTCTGACAGAATCTGTTCTGGGCTAGGAGTCAGAAGACTGGGTTTCAGGCCCTGCCTGGCCTTGGTGAGTCGCTGACCTCTTTCAGCCTCAATTTCCACATTTCTCAGTGAAGGCTGAACTCAGTGAGTCCAAGATCAACTCATTACTGTTTCAGCCTCCTCTTATTCCCATCAGAACCAGCTACAGTCATGCATTGTTTAACACCAGAGATAAGTTCTGTGCAAACATCTTGGAGTCATTGAGTGTACCTCACAAACCTAGATGTGTACTTCACTACACACCTAGGCTGGATGGGGTAGCCTCTTGTTCCTAGGCTACAAACCTGTACAACCTGCTACTGTACTGAATACTATAGGCAGTCGTACTCCATGGTGTATATTTGTGTATGTAAACATATCTAAACATACACATAAAAGGAATAGTAAAATATGGTATTATAGTCTTACGGGACCACTGCCATCTATATGCTTTCTTCCAGCCACAGCTGCCCCTGTGGACCCTCCCTTCATATGAATGGGAGGTTGGCACATGATAGAGTCAGGCTAGTCCCAAACCCAAACTTCCTCTCAGAAAAAGTAAGAAAACTTGGAGAGGCTTGGGAGTGGAAGAGAACTCCTGTTTACGGAGCATTCACTGTGGGCCTGGGCTCCACAGGCTGCATCCCATAAACTGCCCCATTTAATCCTCACAGCTGCTTGTGCCCAAGCCCTGCTGCACTCCCCGACCCTGGGCTTACCCCTGACAGCCACCCCACACTGGGTCTGCTCCCCTTCCCCACTGGCCTGGAGCTCCCTAGGGTGGGGCTGAGTCTGAGTCCCTCACCTGTGGCTCCCCAGGGCCCAGCCCAGAGCGGGCCTCAGTGAGAGAGAAGGGGTGGGGAGCGCGTTCGCTTGTGGGCGACAGTATGTGGCCAGGGGACTGTCTCCAATTTCTCTCCTCAAAGAGGTCAAGAAACATGCCCAAGGTCACACAGCTGTTTTGTGGCAGAGCCAGGACTGAAGCCCAGGTCTGAGAAACCCCAAATCCAAGGCTCTTTCCTGACATTCCCTGGGCCCAGCCCCACATGTAGCTCAGTGAGCAAAACAGGAAGCACTGATAGAGTCCTCCGTGCCCAGATGGCTCATGTGCCCTGAAGGCAAGCTGGAGACAGGCTGGGGGCAACTGGAAGGCAGGGGTCTAAGTCACCTGTATCCCCCAGCCCAGCACGGGGCCTGGCACACGGAAAATGTTTGTTTCCCCTGGGAGAAGATAAAATAACCAAAATCACAAAAACTTCATGTGATCAGGAAATGGAGATTCCTAGAGGCTGAGTGAAGCACTTGGGGCCACACAGCAAACAGACATGACTAGAACTCTTCTTACTTAGGGCTGTCACCAAAGGGCAGTGACCAAACTATCTCTGCTCTAGGTCAGACTTAAGGAAACAGGTTCAGATGGAAGGGGAGAGGCTTCAGGGAGAATTCTGGGGTCTTAGGACTTCTGAAGGGGAACATTCCTGTGGCCCTAGGGAAAGTTGTTGAAGCATTGCAATGCAGGAAGGTTGTAAGGATCCTCATTTTACAGCTGAAGAAACTGAGGGCCAAAGAAAGAAAGGAACCTGGCCACAGTCACTCATCAAACCAGTGACTGACAGGACTGTTAGCATCTGGAGGACAGAGCCAGGACCAAAACCAGGGTGGGTCAAGAGTCACTGGCTCAGAGGGAGAAGGGAGGGAGGAAGCCACGAAAGAAGATGAAGCTTCATTGAGGGGCAGGAGGCGGGTGAGAAAGGGGAACCAGGCTCCAGGTAGGACCCCACCACTCCCTTCCATTCCCATGGCTAGCCCCAGGCACCCCACCACTGCATCTGGCCCCATTCCTACACCATGTTCCGTGACAACTTTACACACTGTATGGGGCACCTTGCTTGGTCTCATTTTGAATGGAAGATCTTGTTTGTGACATGACACATGCCTCAGCGGGGCTGTGTAATGTGGGGCAAGTCCCAGCTTCTCTCCTATCAAATATGTGACCAGGGCAGAGGGTCTCCCAGGCCCCAGTAGCTATGCAGGCTCCCAGTCCCACAGTCATGACTTCCTAGAACGCGTCTGTTCGAATGTTCTCAGGGGTACCCCAAAACCCCTGTGGGGCCTCCCCTCCAGGAAAGCCAGCACACATCCACAGTGAACACATAGTCAGGATGTCTAGCTTGTAGTCCCAGCTCCACCACTAATGCTGTGTCTCTTTGGGTGAGGCACTCAATCTTTCTGGGCCTCGGTTTCCACCAGCCTTGAAATGGAAGGAGTCAGTGCATGTAAAGATGAGAGACCCACGCAAATGCACATTGTTCTTTCTGTCTACCCTCCTTCGTCCCAGGCATCAAGCTGGTCTTGGGCCAATATTAATAATTCCCCATGGGGCCTTAGCCCTTTCTGTCTCTTCCTTACTCTAGGACCAGGCCTGGGGTCAGTCCCTGTTTATGGAGTCTGTTTCAGGACATTTTGCCCCTCGTTATCTTCGTGATCACTCTGGGACACTGGTTTTATCACCCCATTTTCACAGATGGGAAACGTGAGCCAAGCGTCTTGCCAGTGTCTAGTTGCTAAACATAGTTTGGAGAGGAGACCAGTGGGCCGAGCTTTCCCTTCCACCAGCGGTCAGCCAGTCCACAAACTATGGCTCGGGTCCCTCTGTGCACCTGGAGGTGCTCCCTGCTTTGGACCTGAGCAATGCAGGACACCCCTGCCCAGACATGGCCTGCCTGGCTTGGGTTTCCCAGATGCAAAACCTCCCCTCCCAGGAAAGGGCAGCCGCGGCCAAGTTCACGCTGGGGGAGGTCAGAGACCGCAGGTGGTATCCTAGGGCTGCAGTCCACGCACACCCTGAAGCTTAGCGACCCTGTTTGTGGCCCGCCCAGCTTCTAACGGGGAGGGGGGCGGGGTGGGGACTGAGGCCCGAGGCGAGGCGCCCTCCCCCTCCCATCTCCCCTCCGGGTCCGGGCCTCACCGGCAGGACAGCGTAGGTCTTGAACGCCTGGTTCAGGCTGCGCACCAGCGCCCACTTGCCGAGCTGCGGGACGCGCGCGGGGTCGGCAGAGTCGGCGGGGTCGGCAGAGTCGGCGGGGTCGGCGGGGGGCTCCATGGTGCGGCGATGGCGGCACTGCTCCGGCTCCCTAATTCACCTAATCCCGTGCGCGCCGCCCGCCCCGGAACCCTAAACCGGGCCATCTGCCGCGGGTCCATGGCAACGGCGGCTTAGGTGACGCCCGCGGGCAGGACGGCGAGGGGGCGCCCGCACCACCCCGGCCCGCTCCGTCTCGGCGGAACCCCCCCGCACCCCCACTTCGCCGGGAATTCCAGGCGGCCTCACTGGCACCGTGGCGGTAGGCCTGGGATAAACGTGGCACCTGGCACCGCACCTGACCGCAGTTTTGGAAAAAATCGGTGTGTTTTCTCTGGAAGGAAACACGAGGATGTTATGGAATAGAACGCAGTCAACTCCCGGGGTTTTTAAGACTAAACGGGAGATGCATTGAAGATATTTCTGGCTCCCTGGCTGCTTCTGGGGAGTGAGGTCAGATACACAGTTTCCTTCTGGGGTAAGTTTGGGGGAAAGCCCCTGAAGAGTCTGTGTCCTCCTCCCGCAGCCCCCAAGGTCAAATAGCAGCCCACATCCATCCTGCATGAGAGGCCTTGGAGGCCTGGTGTGGGGTCCCCTGAACTCCACAGGACTGCTGCATCATCTCGATGGCTCAGAGCTCTCCCTGCAATGGGGCGAGCTGGCCTCTTGTGTCCTAGCAGCCACATAGTGCTGGGCACCAGGCCTCGGTCCACACTGAGCTGTGAGCCAGAGGCCACCATCCCATCCCGAGGGCCAGGAAGGCCCAGGCCCTGTGACTCCCCTCCCATTCCTTCCTTCTCGCCTTGCCCTGCCTATCTTTGTCCTCCTCCCCTCTTTCCTCCTTTTTTTTTCTCTTCTCTTTTCAAGGCCTCCAGTCTGCATTTGTGGCCCTCCGCATTGCCTAGTATCCTGGAAGCCAACTGCTCCCCAACAAATAAAAAACGGCAGAGAGTGAGGGCCAGGGACTGGGTGGGGGGAATGGCAAGGAAAAAGACAGTGATGCCTCACACAAGGCTCAGAGCCACCCAGGATGGGCCCAGTTCTACCCCACTCCCTGTCCCAGCCTTGCGGACCCAGGGCTCTGCTGCCCAGCACAAAGCTGACTGATCAGTGATTCCCACCCACTTCCTGTGACCTCTCAGGGACACTGCTCTCAGGAGAGGTCCTTCTCCGAGTCAAGCCGAAAACAAGCACGTCTATCTCTCCCCGCCCACCTACAGCAGCACAATGGAACAGGAACCAGACCTCAGACACAAGGAAGCACTGGTGGTGAGCTTCCGGGCATTCTGCCATTAAGTCCATATAACCCACCTTCACTGAGTACAGGCTCAGACTAAAACACAAAGGACACTGTTAACAAGACATGTCCTCAGACTGGTGTAGTGGACAGACCCAGGCACAGATAAGGATGGTACCAGCAGATAAGAGGCAGATTAGCCCTGGAGACACAGGATAGCACGGCTGCTAAGAGTTTGGACCCTGGAGTCAGGGCTTAGTTTCAATCCCAGCTCAGCCACTCACAAGCTGTGTTACCTTGGGCAAGTTCCTCGACCTCTATGTTCCTTTCTTTCCTCATCCGTCAGGTGACAAAATGACAGTGCTTCCACGTGCTCGTGAGGATTTAACAGGTGAAGATGCGTAATGCACCTAGATTGGTGCCTGTTAGAGCAAATGTATATGAGTGCCAGTCATGGTTAACTAAGGGAGTTGTGTTAGGGGTGACAGCTGGGTTTTATGATTTTTTTAAGGCAGCCATTAGGGGAAAGGGCATCCCAGGAAGAGGGAACAGCAAACTCAGAGAATCAGAGGAGAGAGCAAAGAGATCGTAAAGTAGGTCTGGCGACTGGTGGCTAAAGAGAGGTCCCCTGGGGGAGACCCTGCAAGGCGCTAAGAACCTGACCTTGCATGGTTCCAGACTGACTACTGAGACCACCCCTGAGCTGGAGGAATAAGCCTCTTCTCCACAAGTGGCAAAGACAGAGACTCTTGAAAGCTGCAACAGAGAGGTGACTCATTCTATACAACGAATCCTTAATATGAGTCTCGGCTGATTTCTCATCAGAAACCATGGCGGCCAGAAGGCAGTAGGATGGCATATTTAAAATGATGAAAGAATTAAAAAACTGTCAAGAAAGAATTCTGTATCTGGCATAACTATCCCTCACAAAGGAAGGAGAAATGAAGACATTCCCATGTAAATAAAAGCTGAGGGAGTTTGTCACTGGTTGACTTGCCCTATAAGAAATGCTAAAAATTAAAAGACATTGAACAACAACAAAACAACCAATCCAATTCAAAAATGGGCATAGGCAAGAGTTTGATTGCACCACTGCACACCAGCCTAGGTGACAGAGTGAGACTGTGTCTCCAAAACAAACACAGGCATAGGACTGAAATAGACGTTTCTCCAAAAAAGATATACAAAGAGACAAGAAGCACATGAAAAGATGCTCAGCATCACTCATCATTAGGAAAATGCAAATCATAACCACAATGAGATATCACTGTACACCCATTAGGATGGCTATTACAAAAAAACAAAACAGAAAATAAGTTTTGGCAAAGATGTGGAGAAAATGGAACCCTTATGCCCTGCTGCTGGGAATGTAAAATAATACAAATGTTGTGAAAAACACTATGGCAGTTCCTAAAAAAATTAAAATGAGAATTACCATATGACCCAGCAATTCTACTTCTGGATATATACTCAAAAGAATTAAAAGCAGAATCTCAAAGAGATCTTTGCACACCTATGTTCAAAGCAGTATTAATTATAATAGCTAAAACACAGACACAATCCAAGTGTTTCTCAATAGATGAATGAATAAACAATATGTGGTATGAACATGCAATAAAACATTACTCAGCCTTAAAAAGGAAGGAAATTCTGACACATGCTATTAATACAACATGGATGAACCTTGAGGATATTATGCTAAGTGAAGTAAGTCATCACAAAAAGACAAATAGTGTATGATTCCACTTATGTGAGATACCTAGAGTAGTCAAATCAAAACCATAAAGCAGAATGGTGGTTGCCAGGGGCGGCGGGGAGAGGGGATTGGGGAGTTATTGTTCAATGGATAGAATTTTTATTTTACAAGATGAAAAGAATTGTAGAAATTGATAGTGGTGATGGTCACGCAACATTGTGAATGTATTTAATGCCACTGAACTATGCACTTAAAGTGGTTAAATGGGGCCAGGCACAGGGCTCATTCCTGTAACCCTAGCACTTTGGGAGGCTGAGGCGGGTGGATCACCTGAGGTCAGAGGTTCAAGACCAGCCCGGCCAACATGATAAAACCCCATCTCTACTGAAAATACAGAAATTAGCTGGGGATGGTGGCAGGGACCTGTAATCCCAGGTACTCAGGAGGCTGAGGCAGGAGAATCACTTGAACCTGGGAGGCATAAGTTGCAGTGAGCCGAGATCCACACCACTGCACTCCAACCTGGGTGACAGAGTGAGACTGTCTCAAAAAAAAAAAAAAAATTGGCAAAAAAATTAGAGTACAGTACACAGTAATGCAAAGCCATATGAAAAAAAATAAAGAACACTGGTAAACACACTTGCATAGATAAATAGAAAAGTCATATTTGACCAGGCACAGAGATAGGGTGTCTGTACTCCCAGCCACTTGGGAGGCTGACACAGCAGGGCTGCCTGAGCCCGGGAGTTCAAAGCTGTAGTACACCACTATTGCACTTGTGAATAGCATCTGCACTCCAGGTTGGGCAATATAGTAAGACTCCATCTCTTAAACAAACAAAAAACAGTATTGTTGTATTTTTGGTCTGTAACTACTTTCTTTTCTGTGTGATTTAAAAGACAAATGTATAACATAATGATACATCTATGTTAACTGGCACATAATGTACAAAGATGCAATTTGGACAATAAACAACATAAAGGGGGAGAGAGAAAACTATAAAGGAACATAATTTTTAGATATTATTCAAGCTAATTTGGCCTTAACTCAAACTACATTGCTGTAGATTTAAGATGTTATTTGTAGGCCAGGTGCAGTGGCTCATACCTGTAATCCCAGCACTTTGAGAGGCTGAGGCAGGCAGATCACTTGAGGTCAGGAGTTTGAGACCAACATGGTGAAACCCCGTCTCTCCTAAAAATAAGGCATGGTGGTGCATGCTTGTAATCCCAGCTACTTGGGAGGCTGAGGCAGGAGAATTGCTTGAACCTGGGAGGCAGAGGTTGCAGTGAGCCGAGATCACACCACTGCACTCCAGCCTCGGCAACAAGAGTGAAACTCCATCTCAAAAAAAAAAAAGATGTTGTTTGTAAACCTAAGAATAACCATTGAGGAAAAAAACTTTTAAAATACACAGAAGAGTAAATGAGAATCAAAACAGTACTTTAGAAAAAAAAAGTCAATTAAACACAAAAGAAAGCAGTAATGAGGAATTGAGGAGGAAAAGATATAAGACATACAGAAAACATAGCAAAATGGCAGAAGTCCTTCCTTAACAGTAATTACTTTACATGTAAATGGATTAAACTCTCCAACCAAAAGGTAAAGATTGGCAGAATGGATCAAAACAAAACAAAACAAAGAAAACAAAAACCAACCACATGATCTAACTATATGCTGCTTACAAGAGATCCACTTTAGATCCAAAGACACAAATAGATTAAAAGTAGAAGGATTTCACACAAATAGTATTCCATGCAAATAGTAACCAAAAGACAGCTGGGATGACTATACTATTGGACATAGATGTTAAGTCAAAATCATTACAAGAAACAAAGAAGGACATTATATTTTACTAAAAGCATCAATCCAACTGTTACCAACAGCCCACCAATTTACCTCCAAACCTCCCTCTGCCCACAAATCTGGGCCAAGTACACAGAGTCCCTGCCCTGGCCCCACCATGAAGCCGGGAATCATGACATACTGAAGCACAGAAGCCCTCCTTGTGGTCCTTAAAGACATGAGTCAGGTGCACTACAGAGCTCTGAGTTCTTATTCCAGCCCTGGCACCAGCTGGCCTTGCAGCCCTGGGCAAGTCCTTCTCCCTGAGACCTCAGTCCCTGTATGTTCATGAAGGACTGCAGCAGCTGTCTCATGGCTTTCCATGTCCACCCTCTCCCAGGGAG